CGTCACGCACCTCTGGCGTTTCCACAGACGAGCCGGGCACGGATTGGCCCCGAGCCGCGGGAAGTGCCCGCCCCCAGAGCCGCCGGCCAATGGGAGGAGGGGGCGGGCCCGAGGCGGGCGCCGGAAGCGCTCGAGCGATTAGGGGTCGTCGCGTCGCCGGGTTTCGAGCAGCTGCCGCGGAGCCGCCGGACGGACCGCCAGCGTCGCCTGCCCCGCCATGGCTGAGAGTGACTGGGACACGGTAACGGTGCTGCGCAAAAAGGGCCCCACGGCCGCCCAGGCCAAGTCCAAGCAGGTGCGGGCTCAGCGCGGGCCTCGGGGCCCAGGAGCGGCCGGGCGGGCGGGGCGGACGCGGGGCCGGGGGCGGGGAGGACGCGGGGCTGGGGGCGGGGAGTGGGGACTGGAGCAGGGACCGGGTGGGAGCGGAGCGGGGACAGGGGGCGGCGACGGGGCGGGGGCCGGGGGCAGGAGTGGGAGACAGGGGCGGGCTGGGGGTGGAAGGCTCCGGATGGTCTTAGGGCAGTGACACAGGCCTGCGGGCGAGGCGCTGGACCTCTTGGTGGGGACAGGTACATAGGGACTGGAGGGGAGGGGGGCGAGGTTAGCGGGGTGGACCTCGGGGCGCAGATGGGGGATGGAGCGCAGATAGGTGGTGGGTCGAGGGAAGGGATGGGACAGGGGCACGGTTGCCTGGCACCCCCGCCCCAGGGTCTCCTTCCCGCTTCTGCGGGCTGCCGGGTGCCTGGCCAGTCCGCTGCCGCCTGTGGAGCCCACTGAAGCATATTGCCGGTCATAGGGAGTCCCTGGCCCCAGGCTGAGGTGGCCTAGGACCCAGCGTGCAGGTGGACCCTGCGTCCCCAACTTGCAAGGGTAGCCGGCATGCCCTGAGGGGTACTTGGGGCAGAAGGTTCCCTGGCTAGTCCGTCGGGGGTTCATCTGTGAGTCGATGTGAGGGAAAAGGGGAAGGGCAGTTTAGTCCCCACCCCTGCTTGATTCTGCTCTCAGGCCGCCTTGGGCCAGCCTTAGACACGCAGTGCCAGGTCTGGGCCAGGACTAGCTTTGGCACTGGTGATCAGCATTCATTGACCTGCCCAGGACTTCTCAGTTAGTCAAAACCAAACTCACTCTCTTTTTTTTTTTTTCCAAAGGAAACTTAATAGCCACAAGCTAGGAATCATGTGAACAGCTCTAGAAAGCATCTGTGCACCTGTCACACTGAGAATGTCGCACAGTCATGTCTCTGAGGTGTCAGAAGCTTCAAGAAATACACTACATTAATACTCGGGGACTGTAGATCAGGGGGTGTCGCTGTCTTGGCTGATGTTGGGGACGGGGGCTGCAGGCTTTGTGCGACGTACTGTCTTTTATCAGGAGCCGGATTGGCTGAGGAAGGCCAGACCAGGTCCTCACTTGATGTTCCTTCCTGCTTTTGCAGGAGAGTGTACTAGAGAGGTAAATCTATTTCAAGTGTGGGTTTCCGAAAGGAATCCATTAGCACGTTGTTTTCAGCAGCCAAGACGTGAGCTCTTTCTGTTTTCCTTAGCAGGAGTTTATTGAGAGTTGCCTGGATATTTGGTTGTAGAGGGATTTGTATACCGGGCTTTGGTTTAAACCCAGCATTTGCTTGTCAGTGCTTGGAAAAGCATCAGGTACTAAGCACATAGCACTGCGCTTAGGGGCATGAGCTCGGAGCTCACGGGCTCAAAAAGCGCCAGGCGTTAGCGGTGCACTGACTGGCTGACAGCAGCCTAAACCGGTGTTTGCCGAATACTGCAAAGCTAGTTTTGACCGAAAAACACTTGCTAATTTTCCAGGCCATCTTAGCAGCTCAGAGACGAGGAGAAGATGTGGAGACTTCCAAGAAATGTAGGTACTCGTGTGTCCACTCGCAAGACCGGGGGGGGGTGCTCTTGGGGTTCGTACCTGCAGACGCGTGAGTGCTGCCCCCGGGCTGTCGGGTGGCTGCTGGCAGCTGAAGCCGCCGCAGAGCTGGGCGACGTCAGGGATCTTGTGAGAGCAGCTGTGGTTGGCGTAGGTCAGGAGGGATTGTTCTCCTCCTTAGTTCACAGATTCTGGACTTGTCCTTTGCGTGTTCTTGTCCCCACTTTGGGTGGCCTGGCCTAGCACGTCACCCTGGGCACAGGGCGCCTCTTGGGCCTGGTTCCCGTTCTGAAACGGCTCTCCTTCGGCTTCATTGCAAACCCTCTCCTCTGCTCTTGCCTCGTGCCGGTCCAGGGGCCGCCGGCCAGAACAAACAGCATTCGATCACCAAGAACACAGCCAAGCTGGACCGGGAGACCGAGGAGCTGCACCACGACCGGGTGACCCTGGAGGTGGGCAAGGTGATCCAGCAGGGCCGGCAGGGCAAAGGACTGACGCAGAAGGACCTGGCGACGGTGAGCGCGGCGGGTCCCCTCCTCCCGGGCCGTGGTCGGGCAGGCGGGAGGCGTGGGCTCCACTCTCCTGGTGACTTGAGGGCTTCAGTTCGCTCTTGCCCCGGGAACCCTGAGCCCTCTCGGGGGGGCCACACGAGTCAGCTGTAACTTCCTGAGCTGCTATCCGCTCAGACCCTCGGCCTGCACAGTGCCCCGGGGGTCGGTGCCTGAGGCGCCTCACCTGGATGTGTTCTAGTCTCCCAGCATCTCCTTCTGGAACTGACGTGTGCAAATACACGTTCTCTTTAGAAAATCAACGAAAAGCCACAGGTCATCGCGGACTATGAGAGTGGCCGGGCCATTCCTAACAACCAGGTTCTGGGCAAGATCGAGAGAGCCATCGGTGAGTGTCCCGCCACCCTTCAGTGGGTCTCGGCTGCCGCTGCCTGACCGCGCACGGTACGGCCGCCCCTCCTGGGTGGGCTTGGTGAGGAGGGGCGCAGGAAGGCCCCTGGGGCCCCGGAATTCTCCGGCGCCTGAAGAAAATTTCCACGAGCATGTAGTGTCTGGGCGCCTCCCCCTTTGGCATCTCCCCAAGCCCCCTGTGCTGTGGGCCTCGCTCTCCCTGCCCCGCCCCCAGCATTGGCGGCAGCGTGGCTCCCGGAGCGAGGAGGCCTAGTTCTGGGGAGGGGCGTCCTCTGTCCCCAGGAAGACGGGCAGGCACGTGCTCTTCAGAGTCAGGCGTGGAAGCTAGCGTGGTGGGCGTGGTGCTCATCGGTTTCCCGCCCCTCCCCTCACGCGCCCACTGCCCCCCGCCTCCCGTGGAGCCTGGGAGCCGCGCTCAAGGGTCGGTGCTGGTGCCGCTGCCCCCTCCGGGGCAGTGGGTAGTGGTGCTGTGGAGCTGCCCTGTGCCTTGAAGACCCAGGGGCGAGCTGCAGTGGTCATGGGCCGGTGGCTCTTTCAGGCCTCAAGCTCCGGGGGAGAGACATTGGGAAGCCGATCGAGAAGGGGCCGAGGGCGAAATGAGCACAAAGCCTCGAAATCAGTGCGTTCCGGCTGATCTTGTCTGGCTGGTTCCCCTTGACCACCAGCGCCAGCGCGGGTCTCCTCACCGGCCGTGCGGAACACAGGGCGGTAGCCCTGCCCGGGAACCCCCTCTACCCGTACCTGCTGTCAAACTAACAAAACCTTGCAGCGTGTTTGCTTCTCCTGATTGTTTTCCTTCCTGTCCCCGTCCCTCACGTGGGGTGCAGAGCGCTGCCTTCCTCTCCCCCGGGGTCTGCCCTGTCACGGCTGTGGCTCCAGGGAGCTCGGAGGGGGGACCGCCTCGCACACGGTGGGCAGCCACCGTCTGGGAGAGGAGCTGCGTGTCCGGCCCGGCTCGTAGAGAAGCTAATAAACGTTTGTCGCCCTTCCTGCTGGTGCTGAATCCTTGCTGTCCGGCCTCGCCTCTTGTGCCTGCAGCTCCCCCTCCCTCTGGCCCCCAGTGTGGCGAAGGGCTGTTTGCATGCAGCGCTGTGGGGGAGTCTGCGGGCCAGGAGGGTCGCTCTGCAGGCTGTTGCTCGTCACTTCTGCTGGGACGGTTAGTGGGCGTCCATCAGCTTCTTGGCGCCAAACCCTGGCCCTCCCCGGCACTGAGTCCCTGGTCACATCGTTCCGTGCAGAGCCCAGTGGGCCGGGGTGGCAAGGTGGAGCCACTTGGGCTGGAGTCCAGGGTACCTGGCCATGCAGGTGTGGCCGTCACCCCCTCCCCTAGGACAGCCATGCCCGGAGGGCCTTCCAGACCTGGCGGGTGGTGTCTGAATCTCCCTCGTGGAAGACCAGAGCCTGGGACTGTCCCTAGGTCAGAAAGACTCAGCTCCATTTTATTAGATGAGGGTGGCGTGTGGGCGGGGACCTTGACCATGGGAGGGTGGACACGGTGACCTTTATTTGGGACAGGGGACACATCAGGGCATTCCTCCTACAAGTCCAGCTCCATGCCACCTTGGACCCAGTTAAGTGTCTGCTCCTAAGTCTGTCACCGGCAGCTCTGGGGATTTCTCTCTGTCTTAAATCAGATGCAGAATCGCCCGGTGAGGTGGGGCCCCTGATGGGCCTGGGTCGGAGTCCCACTAGGCTGGCCAGAGGCTCACTCGGCCTGGGGCAGGGGCTTCTCAGGTCCCGCTGCGCCTCCCTCCTGGTGCCCCTAGCCCCTGGCGCCGTCTCCGGGGACTGCCTGTTTCCAGTCTCCTGAGCCACTGAGGCACGTGGGAGGGGCCCCCAAGCACATCCTCTTGGGCAGGTCGGGTTGGGTCTGGGGAGCCCGGGGAGCCCCCGCTTCCTGCTGGCCTCAACCTTGGCTGGCCAGCGGGGGGTCCCTTGTGGGCCGGGCCACTTATTGCTGGGGTATGTAGCTGCGGCCCCTGTGAGGGTGAGGGATGCAGGGACTCGACATGTCCTGGGGGGTGGGGAAGGTGTTGGTCCCTGGGCCACGGGGTCTTCTCTGCGTCATCTACTGGTCATTGGTGACCGATGCTGGCAGGGTGACATGGTCCTAGGAGGAAGGAGGAGATCTGTGGCCATTGGGCAGCGGTGGCCCCGCGTGTGGGAGGGTCCTGTTCACCGTCCAGCTGAGTGCAGGGCTCAGGGGCTCCTGCCCGCCACCCCCCCCAGGGCTCCTACCGCGTTGAAGAGAATGTTGTCAAAGCTGGGGGCCACGGTGTCCGTCTCCCCCCAGAAGGGGCAGCCCCCCCTGTTCTGCAGCCAGCGCCATCCCGCAAGTCCAAGCAACACCAGCAGCATGAGGAGGAGGAGGGTGCCACCAACCACCGCTGGCACCGACGTGGCCACTGCTGTGTCTCCTGTGGGTGTGGGGCGCGTGACCCGGGATCCGAGCCCTCCCTGTCAGCCCCACGCCCGGGCACGGCCGTCCCCACAGCCCTGAGGACTTCTGCGCCCCCCGCTAAAGGAGGGGCGCCGGTCGTGCCCACACAAGGCTCCCAGCTGAGGCCGGGCCCTGGTGGGCAGGCGGCTGCCAGCTGCGGAGCTGGGGGAATCGAGGCCCCAGGCTAGGGCCCCACCCCGCCTTTGTCACAGAACACCAGCAACCGCAGGTGCTGCAGCAAGAGGCTGGCTGTGGCCTCTGGCCTGACCGGAAGTGGGGGCGCGGAGTGCAGAGGCCGGGGAGGGGCGCCCCAGTCCTGAGCGAACAGGGGCCAGGGGCGGCCCAGCCCGGCATGGGGCACAGCGGGCGAGCGAGGGGACGGTGCAGGGCCCGGCCCGGTGGCTCTCCTGGTCTCTTGGGCCAGGAGCAGGCCGCTGGCAGCCACGTGGGCCGTGAACCACCGAAGCTGGTGGAGGCCCAGACCCGGGGCAGGGCTTACCCTGGCTGGGTGTAGGCAGCTGGCAACGTTGCCCGGCCAGGTACTCAACGTCATCCAGGGCAATGGGCCCCAGGGCTGGCTGGCCGCCCAGAGTGGCTTCAAACACGATCTGACCGGGAGGGAGAAGAGGCTGGGTGGGCCCGAGGAGGAGGATGGCCCCTCCTGAGCTCCTGAGCCCCCTGAGGTCCCCCGGCTCTGGGCGGTCCGGCCTCACCTGGAACTCCTCGGCGCTGGCCACTTCCACCTGGCCTTCCAGCCACTGGTGCCGCAGGCGCCCGCCCGCGCCCCACACGGCCAGCTGACCCCGGGCGCTGCTCAGGAGCACCCTCAGCTCACCCTTGTCTGAGAGCAGGGGGCCAGGTGTCAGACCCCCGACCCGGCGGGAGGCGGGGCTGCCCCCGTGCCCGTGTGCCCCCACCACCTCGCTGCCGGCCCAACTCACAGAAATGCTCAGGAAAGCCCATGTGGTACCAGAAGCGGAGGCAGGAGGCCTCGGTGGCGGGCAGTGGCTGGCTGCGCAGCCAGGCCGCTCGGCCCCCCGGGCCCAGCACGCCCGTTTCGAAGAGAGCAAAGTGGCCTGGCAACGAGAGAGGGCACGGTGCCCCGTGGACCGGATGGAGCCAGGCCCCCCTGACCTTTGGCCTCTGACCCTGGGGGGGGGCCTGGCTGGGCTGGCCGGTTGGCCCGGACTGGGGTGAGTGAGGTGTGTGGCCGGGGGTGTGTATGGCGCTGGGGTCCCTTCCTGACTCAGACCCACCTGCCTCTGTGCCCAGGGTGTGGTCCACAGGCGGCTGGGGGTAGCGGGAGGGCGCGGCTCCACTGCTCCAGTCCCAGCTGTACCCGCCCAGGCCAGGCCAGGGCAGATGGTTCCAGCCACACAGACCAGCCTCAAAGTCACAGGAAGCTGCAAGGGACTTGGGCAATAAGCGGTGCTGCCCCCGTCCCCGGGGCACCACCGCTGCGGGGGGTAGAGGTCAGGCCAGGCGTCTCGGGGGAGGCACGGAGCTGGTACCACCAGGAGCCAGGCAGGTCCCAGGGCCAGGCCACGGGCTCCCACCTGGCCGAGGGCAGGGCCCGTCCTGGAGGAGCAGGTCGTCCAGCGCGATGTAGGAGCGCTCCACGCCGGCAGCCACGGCCTCAAACACCACCTGGGCGGGCACAGGGCGGGGGGGCTCGCTTCCGGTCGGCACTGGATGGCCCTTGGGGGTGAGGAAGGCCCTCCACCCCGCTCACCCTCCAGGCCCGTTCGGCCTGCAAGTCCACGCTGCCCAGGCGCCAGGCAAACCCTCCATCGGTGCCGATGCTGAGCACCTGCCTCCTCTCAGCCTCCTCCACGTGGACCCTCAGCGTGCCTGCCGCCCGAGCAGCCACAGCCCCGGTCAGCGGCAGGGGCGGCTCCCGAGCGGCCTCCAGCAGGGGCCTGAGGGACCCACGGGCCCCGCTCCTGGCAGCCCCTCACCTGGGTTGCGGAGGCTCAGGTGGTACCAGAAGGTCAGGCAGGCGGCCTGGGCCAGGGGCCTGTGCTCCTCTGAAATCAGGGAAGCCACGTGGCCACGGGGCAGGGCCTGCGGGCTCATGTCCACCACCATGTAGTGCCCTGGGGGGGTGCCAGCGTCAGCCTGCCGGACCCCCCCCTGCCCGCCCCCGCCCCCCCGCTCCCCACCCCCACCCCACGCCTCTGCCCCACCCCCTGCCGGCACCCTGAGCCGTCTCTGTGGTGTGGTCTGCAGGGGGGCCCAGGGCCGCCTGGCCCGTGGCATTGGTCTGGCGTGTCCAGAGGCCCCGGCCCCCAGTGGAGAAGCCGCAGGCCGAGTCCTCGAAGGAGCAGCGCTTGGGGGCCCAGCAGGGCCCGGGCCGCACAGTCACGTCGTCCAGCGCCATGGTGCCGTGGTACCCGTCCCGGAGGCCCTCGAACAGCAGCTGGGGGACAGCGGGGGGTCAGCTGTCTGGGGCCTTGCCCTGCCCACCTCTGCCGGGCACCGGGCCTCACTTGGTACTTGGCGCTGGAGTCCTGCGGGTGGTGGAGGGTGGCCCAGGCCTCATGCCAGCGGTTGCCGTGGGTGCCAGACCGCGACCACAGGTGCCTTTCTCTCTCCCCTTCTCGCCTCATTGCCAGGCGCAGAGTCCCTAGGGGGAGGCAGGGTTTGGAGGGGACAAGACCCCGACTCCTGCCTCTCATCCCTCCTAGAGCCCCGACGGGCCCAGAGACAGAACTCGAGCCCCCCGTGGGCCTCCACCGCGGCCCCGCCCAGCAGGGGGTCTCACCGATCTGGGGCCCATAGAGGTGGTACCAGAAGGAGAGGCACTCCTGAGCGGCCGCGGGTGACTGGGGCCAGGTGAGCAGGTGAGCACCGGGGCCCTGGGCTGGGGGTTCCGTGGGGTCTAGGAGCATGAAGTGGCCTGCAGGCGGGCCGTGGGGCTGAGCCGCAGAGACGCCAGGCTGGGGACACTCAGCCCAGAGCTCCCCTCTGCCCCCTGGGAGTCCGGTCTGGGAGGCCCCCGGGGTGGGTATGGGAGGCCGCTCCGAGTCTGAGAGCCGCTCCCAGGTCGGGGCGCCCCCGCCTCACCTTGGCCTGTGGTGTGGTCGTACCCAAGGCCACGGCTCTCGACTCGGTGCCAGTGGGCATCGGTGAGGTGGCCAGTGTGCCAGCCGCAGGTGCCCCGCTCAAAGTTACAGGAGATCTCTGGGGGTAAGGCACTGGGGGGTCAGCAGCCCCCGCACCCCTCCTGAGCCCCGAGAGGGTGGGAGAGACTTGCTCCCGGACTGGGGACTCCCGGGGGTCCCTCGAGGAGGCCTGGGTAGGAGGCCCCTGGGTGGGGACTGGGCCACGGTGGTCACCTTTCTCGGTGACCGCCGCAGGGCTGCAGTCCTTCAGGGTCACGCCGTCCACCCCGGCGCCCTGCTGGCCAGGGCCATCCAGGTCCAGCAGCCCAACGAACTCCAGCTTCACGGGGGCGCGGGGGACGGGCCGGTAAGTCAGGGCCGGCTCCGCGTGCCCCTCGCCCCCCGCCCCAGGCTGCCCGCCTCACCCGGAAGGGCCGGTGGCGAGCCCCGAGAAGGACTGTGTCCACTTTCCAGCCCCCGGAGCTGCTGCCCGCGGCCTGCCACACCAGCTCACGGCTGCTGCCTTCCACCACGACCAGCTCCAGGAAGCCTGGTAAGGGGTCACTGTGGGCTGGCCCGCCCCACCTCCGCCCCAGGGCTGGGCAGAGGGCCTGGAGGGACAGCGGTACCTTGGGGGTGACTCTGAAAATAGTAAGCCATGTGGAGTTCACAGCGGGGGCCAGAGGGGCCCAGGGTGGGTGTGAGGACGCGGGCCTGCTCTGCCAGCTGCCCCCAGGCCCTCTGCACGGACAGGAAGTGCCCTGGGGAAGAGCAGGCCTCTCAGAGCTGATTCCTGAGAATGGGGGACACCTCCCAATTCAGAGACCCTCCCCGGTGAAAAGAAGCAGAGCGGGGACCCTTGTGCGGGTGCAGTTGGAAGGCAGGCTGCAGGCTGCCCTGGGCGGGGCACTCGGGCCTCACCAGCGGCCCCGCTGGCGTCCATGCCAGGGCTCCCGCTGTCCTGGGCCGGGAGACGCACCCACTGCAGCCGCCCCACACTGGCATCCTCCCAGCCCCCGGCCGAGGGGGACTCGAAGTCCGTGGTGCCTGCAATGGCAGCCGGTGTGAACGGTCCCGCCCACCACTGCGAGCGGGGCTGGTCTGGGGGAAGGGAGGTGAGGGCTCCCCGCACCCAGCTCCGCCTCTTACCGCATTCCTGCTCGTCCTCGCCCCCAGGGCACTGCTGCTGGAAGTCACACAGCTGCTCCGGGGGGACACACAGCTCCCCACACAAGAGATGTCCGGGCTCGCAGAAATTCCAGGGCTGCAGGCTGGACAGCTGGGACCGGGGACCTGGAGCCCAGAGCCCAGGAGGTGGGCCAGCCACCTCTGTGGGGGCAGAGCAGGGATCAGGCAGGTGGGTGGGGGCTGTGCCTCTCCTCACGGGGGGCGGGGGGGTGCCCAGCAGGCTCACCTGGGACTGGTTTGCAGTGGTCAGACAGGATGAGGTCATCCAGGCCCACGACGCCCCCCGGGCCCGTCTGCCCGGCCAGGAGGATCTGAGGGCGGAGGCGGCTCTGTCATCCCTGGGTCTGCTCCCTCGAGCCCTCTCCCCATGACCCACACCTCGTACCTGTCTATCGCTGGACGCTCCCTCCCGTCACCACCCCAGCCCTGCAGGAGGGGCCTCGGCGGGCAGCCCCTCCTCCCCTCTGGCTTGCCTTCCTGCTGAGACAGCGGAGGGGCCCAGACCGGACTCCCTGAGGGGCCCCTGGACCTCCCCACGTCCCTGCATGGTGCTGCCCTCGCCAGCCTCACCCGAAAGGGGTGCTTGCTCTGGATGTCAATGCGGTCTCGGACCCAGGCGGCCCCCAGTTCCCCGTGGCGCCTGCGCAGCAGGACAGCGGCCTGGGGGGCGCCAGCGCTCCGCGTCTGCAGGAACACCTGGAGGCAGCCGGCCTCGGACCCGTGCAGGTAGTGATAGAAGGTGAGCTGGAAGGGGAGTGAGCATGTCAGGGGAGGCTCTCCAGGGCCCGGGCGATCAGGGTGGCCACCCTGTGTCCTCCACCCGCCTCACCGAGCACTTCTCGGGGGCCGAGGCCTGGAACTCGGGGCTGGAGAGGATGGCTGGGGCGCTGGGCTCTGCCACGGCCACCAGGAAGGAGCCTGGGGAGACAGCAGGCGTGAGCCGGGCTGGCAGGGGTGCTGTGGCCGAGCGTGGCCCGGGTGGCGGCCGGGGTCCTCGGGGGGCCTCACCCTGCGCGCTGTTCCGGCTGTGGTCACGGTGCGGCCAGGCGGGGTGCTGCGGGCCGCCCGCGCTGTGGTTCCGGGCCCAGCCCTCTGAGCGGTTCCACAGGCCCAGGCCCCTCTCAAAATCGGTGGCCGTGTGGTGGTCTAGGGCAGGAAGCGGGGCTCCGGCTACCACGCGGGGCCTCCTCCCTGGGCCCCCCGCCTCCCCGGGCCTGTGCTGATGGCCCCAGCTCCAGGTGGACAGGAGCTGCCTCACCCCCAGAAGGACCGTGCCAAGGGACAACCCCCGCCCGTGGCCCCGCCAGCCCCGGCTCACTGCAGGTGGGCGTGTCTTCATCTGAACCGTCGCCGCAGTTGTCCTCCCCGTCGCACAGCTGGTGGGGCTCCACGCAGGCCTTGTTCTGGCAATGGTGATGCCCAAGGGGGCAGTGCGCCTGCGGGGCTAGGGTGGGGGAGGGTTAACCCACCACCCCACCCCAAGGCTCCGGGTCAGGGCAGCTTGGGGAGAGGCTCAAGGCCGGAATGAGGGGACCACGGGCTCCTGCTAACCCCTCCCCCACCCAGGGGTGTGTTCACGGCCTGGGGACCTTACTGGGCAACCCACAGCTCCAGAAGGCCACGTCGTCCAAGGCCACAGCACCCCTGCGGGTGGCGTTTCGGGTGGCAGAGAAGGTCACCTGAAGAGAGCGAGGTCCCTGGGATCTCAGGCAGAGCTCAGACCCTCCTCGCTGCCCCCATCATGCGACCGTCCCCGTCTCACCCTGAAGTCACCCTGGATGCGGCCGGTGGGCACCACCAACTCCTGCCAGCCTGGGACCCAGGGCCCCGAGCTCCGCCACAGGGTCAGTGTCTCCACACCGTGGGTCAGCTCCAGCCGCAGCTCGGCCACACCTGCAGTGGGGCGTCCCAGGCATCTCAGGCCCCGGGACCCCTCCCCCCGCCCGGTGGCTGCTGCGCCCTGCCCCAGGACCCCTGCCCGTCCCGTCCTGGGGGCGCCCTCCCGTCTCTGCGGCAGCTCCCCTTCCTTTCCCGGTCCCTCCCCTCGGGACCCGCACGCGGGGCGCACGGTCCTGGGCCCGCACCTCCAGAGGCCACGTGGTACCAGAGGCTCAGCTCACAGGAGGGGGCTGCCTCACGCAGGGTTGGGGAGCGCAGGGCTGCGGTGGCCACCTCTCTCCCACGGTGTGTGCCAGCAGCCGCGTACCAGCCTGGCCGGGCCGAGAGGTCAGGAGACCGGGCGGGAAGCACAGAGGGGAGGGCTAGTGTGGAGACCCGCCCAGGCCTCACCGAGGTCAGTGCCCAGAGTGTGGTCCGAGCGTGGCCCTGGACCCTCCGGCGTGGCCCCTGCCCGGTCTCGGAGCCAGCTGTAGCCCGAGGTGCTTATGTCCCGCCAGCCACAGGAGTCCTGCTCGAAGTCGCAGGCGAAGGGGGCGCCCAGGGTGGGTGAGGCCCCGTGGTAACCTGCAGGGCAGGTGGTCAGGTGGGGTGCCTGCAGGCGCCGGCCCTGCCCGCTCCCCGCCCGGCCCCGGCTCACCGCACTGGGCCTCGTCGGGGCAGCCCCTGCAGTCACACACAAAGTTGCACACGGCCTCGCGGGGGGGTCTGCAGCGGCTGGGGCCCCAGGCCCAGCCCGGGGACCTTGCTGCCAGCAGAGAGACAGCCAGGTGGCCTGGGGTAGGGAGACACCACATCCCAGTTTGCCTGGGACTGTTCCATGGCCCAGAAACTGCTCAGACTCGGGCGTCCCGGGACATAGGTCACACTGCTTTGGGGTCCAGGCCAGGAAGTCATGCAGGGAGGGGGCTGGGTCTGTGTCGGGGGGCCTGGAACCCAGAGAACTGCCACCTGGGGGGTCCCTGTCAGGGCCAAGCAGAGAATGACTGAACCTGGGGAGGCTGCCTGCGTGCCAGGATGGGGGGTGCATGGGCGAGCGAGGGACCAAGGACCCCTGATGTGGGACACTCCCTGGGGAAGAGAACAGGAGCCCAGCAAGAAACCGGAGGGGCTGCCAGCAGGGGGCCCCCTCAAGGGGCTGCATCAGCGGGTGGCCCAGGCCCCCCAAAGCTCTGTCCAGGTCAAGAGTGGCTGACTACCATCTGCCTTCAGGGCCCTCTCACCTTGGAGCCCAGGTGGAGATGGAGGCCAGGGAGAGCAGCACCCTTCCCTGGCGGGGCCATCCCCAGGACCCCAAGGGCTCGCCTGCGTCCCCCACCGCAGGCCGTCCAGGGCCTGAACCCCTCCTTCTCTGTAGGCCCAGCACCCGAGCCCCCGGACACTCCTGCTTCGGGAGCCAGACCCGACGACTCACCCAGGAGCAGGACCAAGACGGGCAGGAGGTGGCCGGGCAGAGACATGGTCAGGCCAGAGGAAGGGAGACCAAGGGGCAGTGTGTGCACCGGCCAGCCTGGTGGGCACTTTTCCTGGTCATCAGCCCGAGGCCCCACCGGCTGACTCTGCTCTAATCGGAGAGTGGGGCTCGGCCCCATCTGTACCTGCGGCCCCTCGCCGGGCCCCGCCCTGCGCTGACAAGGACGGGCACCCGGCTGTAAAAGCATCCAGGAGAGGGGCCCCTGGCCTAGGTGGGCTCCCACCTGCCTGGCTCCTTCAGGCCAAAGGTCAGGCTCCGACCATCATGCCCACTGCTGCCCAGCCCTGCCGGGTGGAGGCCCCACTGGAGACAGCACCGAGTGACACCGGCCTCGGCCGCTTCTCCTGGGGTCTCTGACCCCACACCTGCTGGGAATTCAACTCAGCCTGGCCCGGGTCGCCAGTAGGAAACCAGCTTGTGCAAACCCCCCATCCAGCCCCTGAGTTCCCTGCACGGGTTGGGGCAGCCCTAGCAACCCGGGACGTTGGCCTCCATAGCTCAGCCTGTGGGTTCCTCTTCGCTTGCTCTTACAAACGATGGACAGACTATTCATCAGCAAGTGTCCTGAACGGTGTGGGCTGGACGCTGCCAGGCACAGGGTCCAGAGGAACCTAGAGACTCTGGGGCTTGTGGCACCGACCCCCCTGGAGGATTTGGAGCCAGGCTCCACCCGCAGTTTACTACCGTGCAGCCTGGGGAGCTTGTCTCACCTGAGCCTCAGTTTCCTCATCTTTGTTTTAAAATTTATTTATTTATTGGCTGCGTCAGGTCTTAGTTGCTGCACGTGGGATCTTTTGTTATGGCGCACGGGCTCAGTAGTTGCGGTGCGTGGGCTTAGCTGCCCTGCAGCACGTGGGATCTTAGCTCCCCGACCAGGGGTCGAACCCGCCTTCCCTGCATTGCAAGACGGATTCTTAACCACTGGACCACCGGGGAAGTCTTTCCTCGTTTTCAAACGCGGTCACAATGGTGCCTGCCTGGACAGGCTCCCGTGAGGGCCCTGGAGGCTCACAGGAGGCTGGCACAGCAGGGTCACAGCCTCGGCAAGGGGCACCTCCGCTCCCCACAGCCCTGCGCCAAGAGAAGGGTCTTGGGAGAGGGGCTCCCAGCTCCAAGTCTGAAGCCCTGCCTGTTTACTTGGAGCAGAGCCTGTGGCTGCGGCGCAGTGCCGTGGGACCTGACCTTGGAGTCGAGGGGTCGTAGACTGCCTGACTCATGACCTCAGTTGGCAGCTGGCCAGGAGGGTGGTTGCTGGCGCCTGCCCTCCCCGCACACTGGGCCCGAGGGACTCAGCCCTAGCTCCTTGCGTAAGGGCTCGTCAGGCCTCCTCCCAGATGTCCTTGGGGATAGCAGGTGCGTGGAGAAGCAATCAGGCCATAAACGGGGGCAGCAGCCCAGGGGCCCCCTTATCAGGCCCCAAAGGGCTGAGTGTGCACTGCCACTCCCGGGGCCCCCAGGGGTGGAGCGGGGTGAGGGGCAGCCAGGAGTGACCCGCTGCCCCCACTCTAGTCAGGGGTACAGAGAGGTGACCTAGGAACAGAGAAGCCAAGACACACAGCATTCAGGGACCAGCAGAGGTGACGATGCTTTTAATTCTCCCCAGAGAGGTAACCCCGGGCACTGAGCCCTGGCCAGGGTGGCAAAGTGCCAGGGGGTGCAGCCCAGCCTCTTGGGAGGTGGCCTTGAGAACAGAGTTCCAAGTGGGTCGCTGGAGGTGGCTGGTCTCAGGTGGGCCTCAGTAGCCGTCGTCGGCCCAGGTGACCTCGTAGTCAGGGTACCTGGCTTTGATCTTCTCAGTGGAGACGGAGTGCTGGGCGCGACCGTAACCCTGAAGGGAGAAGGCAGCTCTCACAGCCCTGTCCTGGCTCTGGGCGCCCGGTCAGCAGGGACACCAGGGGCCAGCTCAGGAGGGGGCTGTCATCCCCTCCGACCACACCAGGGCGCTCTCCTGTGGAAGCGTGGCCACCAGGGTGAGCAGATCTTGAGGGAGGTTCCTTTAGCTGGAGGCCCAGACCCCTCTAGGTGCCCCCGTGTATCTGCTGGTAGCTTGGTGAAGGGAGGGACAGGGGCCTCTTAGTTTCACCCCAGCACTGATGGCCTCAAAGCACTAAAGGATGACGGCCAGTCAGGCTTTTGGACCAGGAACAGCACGCAGACCGTCAGAGCAGAGGGGCAGGGGGCGGCTCCCTCCCACCCTGTGTGCTTCCTGTGTCATGCCACGTGAGAAATGGGGAGCCTACAGGCTCCGGATGGGGGGGTTCTGCCGCCGAGAAGGGCTGGAAAACTGAGCACCCCAGGTCAGGCAGCTTGGAGGGCCAGGTCTCCCCAAGCCAGGACTGGGGCCCTCGGCCCACCCAGGCCCGAGGCTGTGGGCTCACCATGGAGTAGCCGTACACATGGATCTTCTTGTCCTGGCTCTGGTGGGAGATGCGCCCGCCCCCCAGGCACACGCAGTCATAGCCTTTCTTCTGCATCTCGCCTGATACCTTGTCATAGATGTCCGCTGGGATAGGAAGGGGGGCTCAGCACGCGCCCTGGCTGCCCTTGAAGGCTGAAGGGGTCTGAAGCCCCGCTCTGAGCAGCTCCCTCCCCAGGAGAGGAGACCCTCTGGGAAGGGATGAAATGGAGGAGGGGGTGCACCCGGGCAGGGGCGCTGGGACTAGGAGGGAGGAGTCGGGCCATGGCAGCCCCTCGTCTCCAGGACCATCTGGGTACTCCAGACTCTGGGTACTCCACGCTCCTCTGGGCCAGCCAGGGATGAAACCGGGTACAGGATCACCTCCCACTACGCCCCTCGGCCCCGCCCGCAGCCGTGGCTAGTCCCGCCCACAGACGCCGGAGACCCCGCCCCCTGGCCCTCCGCCCCGCCCTCACCGTGGTACTCGGCCCACTTGTAGCCGCGAACGATCTCTTTGCTCTCGCCCGCCGGGGCCCCGGAGGGCGGCACCGCGTGGACTCGAATCAGCACATACTTGAAGACGCCGTCGGAGTCGATGTCCACGTCGGGGATCTGGGAGAGGTCCGCCGCCGTCATGTTCCCGGAGCGCACTCACCCCCTGCGGCCCGCGGCCCTTCCCCCACGCGACCCGGGGCTGCGCCGACAGTGCGGGAGGCGGGGCCTGGGAGCCCATGACCAATCCTGCGGGGTCATGCTGCCCGAGCCCAGTGCCTCAGCCAACCACGCGGCAACCCGCGGCACAGACTGGCCAATCGCGATCCAGCTCCTTGCAGCCCAGACACCACGCCGGCTCCACTTAAAGAGGAACTTGGGACCGGGAGTAGGTGGTGACTCAATCCAGCCCCCGTAAAAGTTCCTTTCCAGGGAGCTTGCGGGGAGGAGGGGGGTGTGACAGGCCCCTTTGGTGGGGGTTAGGAGGCCCATGAGGCCCAAGGGACGCGCGCCGGCCCTGGCGCCGTCCCCCACGTGACCGAAGGCCTCCCTTCCCCTACACCGATCCTGCTGTCCGCTCCCGCTGTCCCTTGGCTTCCCTCCGGGTTCCCCCCACCCCGTGCCCGAGGGCCTCCCTCCCCAGTCCCCCACCGAGTCCGAGGGCCTCTCTCTCCTGCTTCCCACTCCGCGTTGCTCCATGGTGTCCCTCCCAGGTTTCCGAAGGCCCCCCCCCCACGCCTCCGAAAGTCTCCGTCCCGCGTGCCACCCACTCCCCCGCACAAAGAATGAGGCAGCAATGGCTACATTCGAGTTTTATTTTCCTTGGTTCGAAAGCGCTCGCCCTCTGGAAATAATCCCGGCCCAGGGTCCTTCCTGGAGGGCCGGCCCTCAGGCGCGGGGCAGAAGGCGGAGGCACCCAGGCCGGGGGGCGCGGCGGCCAGTTTGGGAGGCCGCGAAGGCGGGTGGGGCAAGCGGGGCGCGTGGCCGGTGCAAATGCTCGGAGCCGAGGTGGGCGCACAGGCATTTAGGGGAGGGAGATGGGCGCGGGTGCACGGTCAGGGGCGAGGGCCGGGAACAGAGGCGGGGTTTTGGGGGGGGAGGTCCACAATTTAATTCAGTCGATGCCCCACCTGGCCCCAATGGGGGACTGGGGGCTACAGGAGGGCCCTTCCGGGCTCCCGGCCTTGCCCCCTCTCTAGGTTACTCGCCATCCTTGGAGCCCGGGCCAGGGCCAGCGGGCACCCCGGGGTAGGGCGGGGAAGGACGGACACTCGAGCGTGCGCTCCCGAGGGCCGGAGCCGGGCCCCCTGGCCGCACCACAGGGCACGGCTAGAGCGAGCGTTCGGGGGCGTTTGTTTAATCGCGCCCCCACCCCTCCGGTGGACCACCGCCCTGGCGAACCTGCTCCCATCCACGCTTTCCCCGCCCTGCTCCAAACTGGGAACGCCCCTCTTCTTTGGTCCTCCCTGTGCCTAGGAATAGGGTCCCTGCTGGACGGCCTCCTCGGCCCCTCCCGCAAATCCATCCTGTGCACCTGCTTCCTGCCTCCCTGTATACCTGCTTCCTGCCTCCCTGTGTGGTTAGGGCCTGCGCTGCCGTTTGCACCCCGGGTCTGCCGTGGCACACGCCTAGGGCCATCCTGTCGGGTGAGGGCAGGCAGCCCGACTCACGCCCAGCCAGATCTCAGGTCTGGCCAGCGCCCCTACCCATACGTCCGCTCTGCTTCCCCCACCCAGGACTCCCTTCCCTCTGGCTGGGTGTCTTGCACCTTGGCTGAGGACCCCCGAGTACCCCTTCACTGCTGCTTGCCCAACCCCTGCAGCAGGGCGGGCAGCGCCGTCAGTTTGCCATGGTCCGGCACAGCAGGGATGGGGGCCAGCGGAGACACCACGCGCAGGTCCCCGCCGGCCCTGCCCATCAGGCCAGGACGTGCTTGGGATGCGGACACACCGAGGCCAATCAGGGTGTCCTCTAGAAGGGAAAGGCCTCTGAGCAGGACGCATCCCAGACCACAGGAGGCGGGTGGGGAGTGTGTTTAAAGGGACGGGACTAGGCTTTGGTCGACTCGGGCTCCTGGACCAGGGCGAGCCGGGGTTGGAGAGGTTCCAGGGAGGCCCTGCAGACGGACAGGGGTCGGACGAACCGATTATGCGCGGTGGGATCTGCAGCAGTGACCCCTCCGCGTAAAGGCAGGGCGGGCTGGTCCTCAGACCCACCCCGCCTCCCAGCGGGGAGCACCAAGCGGCCGAGGACCGGCCCTTGGGGAGGGCCGAAGGCGAGCTGGGGGAGAGGGAGCCGAGCTGGGGCTTGGGGGGGAAGGGGGTTCGCAGGAAGGCGGAGGGAAAGGCGGAGCCTGTGGAGAACGCAATGGGCCGGAGCTTTTGGCGAGCTGGGCGGGGCCTGAGTGGACTGGGCAGGGCTCGGGTGGACTGGATGGGGTTCAGGGTGGGCCCTGGGTGGACTGGGCGGGCCCCGGGCGCGCCCTCGCGGCTCACATAATGTCATCCAACAGGTTGGCACTGGCCACCCAGTCTAGCGCGCGTGGCTCGGAGGCGGCCATGATCATGCACATGAAGGGACGGCCTGTGCGCCGGTCCGTGGGGTAGATGGTGGTGGGTGTGAAGCGCCGGTTGGCTTCGACGAACTCGCAGAGCTGCTCGTAGACGCGCGGGAACTCGTGGCGTAGGAAGACGCCGCGGAGCCGCAGCTCTCGCTGGATGTGGATGAAGGCCACCTCGCGTGCTCGCCGGCCCGCCTCGCCGTCCTGGTCCAGGCCCGCAGTGCCGGGCGGCGGCGTCAGGATCAACGTCTCCATGTCGGGTTCGCGGCCCCGCGCCGGAGGCGGCCGTGCTGGGCTGCCGGCCGCCAGCGCCACTTTGGCGAACTTGCGCACCGTGGGTCCGGGGCTGCGCGGCGCGGGAGCTGGCCGGGCAGGGGCGCCGGGTGGCACAGCGCCGGGGCCCACGGCCACGGACACGCTGAGCAGGAAGCACTCCGCCGGCTCGTAGAGGCGGCCGGCGGCCGCCAGCTCCCGAGCATAGCTGCCCAGTGGCGCCGCGTGCATGGCCAGCTCGCGCAGCGACAGGTAGGTGGGCGACAGCAGCAGCCCCTCGAGGCCGAAGCGCAGGAAGTTGTCTGCGGAGCCGGGACTCGGGAAGCCCAGGAAGAGAACGCCGCGGCCGCGCGACAAGAAGCCGACGCGCGCGATGCGCGAGAAGGCGCGGTGCACTGGGCCGCTATCGCGGCAGAATTGCAACACGTGGCGGCACACGCTGCCCACGCGGCCGTACACGCAGCGCACCTTGTGCACGTCCCAATCCTCGCGGCGACAGAGGCGCGAGCAGTAGTAGGTGTAGCAGCTATGGCAGGACTTGAAGTAGAGGCAGGCGTTGAACATGGTCTCGGTGCGCCCGCAGCGCGCATTGGAGCACGTCATCAGGTCATCCTCGTCGGCGCTGGGCTCCGGGGACGCGTCGGCCGCCTGACCCGGGCCCGCGGGCTCCTCAGCGCTGCCGGCAGACAGGGGTGGCGAGCGCGGTGCCCGCGTCGGGACCCCGGCGCCCGAGGGTCGCGAGTCTAGCAGGCGCCGCAGCTGGCGGCCCAGGCCGTCGGACGCGGGCTCGGGCGCTTGGCCGGCTGGGGGCCGCGAGTCGATGACCAGATCGGTGATGAGCTCGTCCAGCTGTTCGAGGCTGCGCTGGCGGCCAGAGGCGGGGCCATCGGGGACGGCGGGCGGAGGCGGCCGCGGGCGACTCCCCAGCAGCTCCCAGCTCCTGGCGCTCGGGCGCTCAGCCGCGCGCAGGTCGTTGTCGGTGATGGTGATCTCCGGCGTGACGTACCAGTTTCGGGCCAGGCCCTCGCCCATACGGCCCTTCTCCGACAGCGACGTCTCGGACAGCGACAGCGCCGCGTAGCGTCTGGGCGAGGTGGACAGGTTCACTATGACGGGCGGACGCCGGCCTTCGGGGGATGTGCCCCGCGGCTCCCGTGCCTCGCGCCCCAGCAGGTTCTCGTAGCTGCGGCCGCGGCCCAGTGGGTCTTCGCGGCGCGGCGCGGGCGCCAGGATGTTGTCCCAGGAGCGCGAGTAGTGGCGGCTGTCGGTCGCTAGCCGGGGTGGGCTGGTGCCAGTGCCGCCGTGCCACGAGGCGAGCAACGGGCCGGGGTCCGGGGGAGGAGGCGCCACCTGCAGGGTGCGGTAAGGCCTCGGGCCCCAGTCGCCCCAGGCCGGGCTGCTGCGCGGGTGTGGGTAAGTCCGCGTCAGGGCGTCTCGATTGCGGTACCGCCCGAAGTCCTCAGTGTAAAAGGGGCGGGCGGCGGGGTGAGCCCGGGGCTCTTCGGGGGCGTAGCGGGGGCCGCAGGGCGGGCCGTAGGCTCGGGGGGCCTCCCCGTAGTAGGAACGGGAGGGTGGTTCTTGGACGGGGAAGGTGCGAACTTCCCCCGCATAGTAGATGCCCCCGTGTCTTGGACTGGGCCCGGGTGGCTCTTCGGACAGAAAGGGCCTGGGGTAGTAGCTGTCGAAGGGCGGTCCAGGGCTGGCCATGAAGCCACCGGGGTGGCCCTCGGGTTCCTCGGTGTAGAAGAATTGGGTGGGGCCCGGCGGGGTGGTGAAGGGCAGACTCCGGCGCTCCGCGTAGTCTCGCGGCCCGAGAAGGGGCCCATCGCAGTACAGCGCCCGGGGGTCGGCGCAGTATGAGTCACTGGGGGTGGGGGTGAGCGAAAGTCCCACGTGGCGAGGCCCGGGCACCGTGAGGCCGTGGAGCTGCGGGGCGGCGCGGGGCCAGGGCGCGGTCTCGGTGGGCCCGCAGGGCCTCGAGCTCCGGGCGGCATGCTGCAGCACCGCGTCGTCGGGCTTGACGTCCAGGCGGCAGCGGACGTGGGGGGCCGGCCCCGCGGGTGGCTCGGCCGGCGCACAGCGGTTGGCGGCGGCGCACAGGGGCGCCATGCGGCCCGGGCCGCCCCGCTGAGGCTGCAGCTTGATGGGGTGCAGCTCGTTGGCGAGCGCGCGCAGCGCGGGGTACGCGGGCTCCCGGCGGGGCGATGCGTCGGCCGGCGCCGCCCGCTGGGCCTCCCGGCCTCGGCGCGGCGGCACAGGCGGCGAGGCGGGTGCGGGCGCCAGGCCCGGGGCCGCACGGGGTGCGCTCTTGGAGCGGGCGCGGCGCCGTGGCTCGCCGTCGCGGGATCGGGCGCGCGGCGCGGCGGGCTCCGGAGGCGGCGGCTCCGGACGGGCCTCCATGGCCTCCCGGTCCAGTGCCTCCAGGAAATCGAAACTGCGGCAGTGGCGCTTGTTGAAAGGCGCGGGCGCAGCAGGCCGGGCCATTGGGCGCTCACATGGCGGGGGCCTCGACACGGGCCCCGGGGCCGCCACCTTGATGTCCTGGTACACGGTCGACACCAGCAGGTCCGGCGGGTCCGTGCGGGTCATCTTAAAAGAGGCCTCCAGGCTGCAGCTCACTCGGCCTTTTGGGGCTTTCGCCCTGAGGGGAGACGCGGGTCAGGGCGGCCCCTCTGTAGCCCAGGCCCCGCTAACCCCCAGCGCTGGCCCGGCTTACCTGGGGCACAGTGGGCGGGGCAGCCCTGGCCACGGGCCTTGGCCGAGGCCGCAGGGACTTGCTCCATGCTGGCGTCAGAAGCACCTGCAGGAGGAAGCCAGCTGTCCGGCCACTCAGGTCCCGCCCCCTCATCCAGACCATCCTTTCTGTGCCACTTTCTGTTGGGATGAGGCGGGTCAGCCAGAACAGGGATGTCATTGCAGTGGTTCCCGAACTTCTGCGCCCACTAGTGACCACTGGGCAGGCTTGGGTAGACCCCCTTTCCTGGGACAGGCCAGCAGCCGGGTAGGAAGAGTGGGGGTGTGATCCCAGGACCACCACCGTGGTGCCCACTGCTGGAGCAACTGGGTACTCCTTTGGGGCCTTCACAGACTTCTTCACAGAGCAGGTGGCTGAAGCCCCCTCCTTAAGACCCAGTGCAGAGCGAGCCCTCCACTGCTGCAGTGTGAGGTCCCGGCCCCGGCCTTCAGCAGCTCCACTCAGTCACCTGATCGTCCCGCCCCACCTGCTGGCTAGGCTGGACAGGCAGGCCTCCCCCAGCGCTGTGTCAGGCCCCAGGTCCTGAAGCGGCCCCACCGGGTCCAGGCATCTCGGCTCGTGGACTTGCCGGCCCCACCCTCAACTCTCCGTGTGGCCCAGGCCAGAGTAATGCTTCCAAAGGTCACAGTGGACCCTAAAGCTCCCTTTCCTTGGCAGAAACATCCTTTGACTCTCCCTCATCTTGGGGTGGCGAAACCCACTAAGATCTTTGGGGCTGTCACGAAAAGCCCGGGAGAGCGACCCCCCATCTTTGCAGTGAGTGCACTGCAGCCGGCAACCGGGCCCTGGTTGCAGGACCACGTGGGGGCTTGTGACCAGGAGCTCAAGGCTGCCCCTGGGCCCCTGAGCAAAGCGCCAGGCCAGGAGGCTGCCAGCCGGGGAAGCAGGGCGGCGGGTGGGTAAAGCCCCCGCCGCCCCCGGTTCTCAGGCAGGCCCTCCCCACAGCCGCTCGGGAAGGTGCCATGGAAACCTGAGGTTCCGTGCCCCCGCATGCAGGCTGAGCTGGGGTCCAGCCCTCCGTACCAGGCTCACGTTCAGACCTGAGCCACCGGCTTCACTGGGTACCCAGAGCCTGGACAGGCTGGGAGGAGCTCAGACAGCGGTACAGGTCCCCACTTCCTCACACAGGCTGGGGGAGCGTGCTCCAGGGTGAGCTGGGTCCTCACCTGGTAGGACCTCTGGTCTGCTTGACCCTCTGTGTCCCGGGTGTGCCAGGGGCTTCCTGCCGGCAGGGCTGCCCTCCTGGGTCAAGGCCACCCAGGCCCAGTGCCTGCCCCCAGCTCGGCCTCAGGCGCACCCCAACTGCCCCTGGTTTGCAGGACCACCCCCTCCCACTCCCTTCCATCTTAAAGCTAGGCCGGAATTGGGGGCTGGATGACGGGGTGTGAGGCTCCGCCCCAGGGAGGTGACAGCCAGGCCTTGGTGCTGCTGTGATGAGGAGCTAAACCGGGCGACACCCCTGCCCGTGGGGATGGGACAGTCCGCCCTCGCCGGGGTCCTAGGCCTAATGAGCCCGGCGGGTGGCCTCCCCGCCAAGCAGCCCGGCCCCTGCCCCGAGCGCCCGGGTGGGGGGCCGGCGTCCTCCAGGGGCGGCACCCCCATCCTTGCAGGTGCCGCACCTGCGAAAGACCCGCGGGGCAGCGGCCTCGACCCCTTACCTGGGCGGTGCTCCCCCACCTTGCCCGGTGGGCTGCGCAGGCCCGGCGAGCTCTGCCGTCCCCCGCGCTGCCGCCGCGTCCCCGGCACCAGCAGAAGCTTCCAGGCAGCGGCGCGAGGCCGCCGGGCCGCTCAGTGCTGCCCCCAATGGCAACTGGCAGGACTGCACTTAAAGGGGCCGCGCCGTGGGCCGGGGACGCGTGTGCCCCGCTGGCTCCAGGTTGGGGCTGTGGCTGGGCGCGAGGTGACGGGCTCTCTGCAGCCTCAAGGGCAGGCCTGGGGTCTAACGAGGGGACCCGGGTCCAGGGGGCACCTGGCCGGTCCTGCCAGCCCCCATCTCCAGGACACCTGCCCAAGGGCAGCTGGTGGCCTGGCAGGCCTTGGCGCTGAAGCCTGGAGAAAGCCCAAGCCCTGGCCCGCACAGCAGACAACTCCCGGAATTCAAGCCTCGGTTCAGCCCGGGCAGGAGCAGATTGGCGGCTCCCCGCCCTGCTGGCCTCTGCGCTGCAGTGCTGGAGGTGCCAAGCCCTCCCCAGGTACCTGGGTCCAGATGGGCACCACCTGAGTGCCTGCAGCCTTCTGTCCCCAGGATGTCCAGCTTCCCCATGCAAGCGCACACCCTTGTGCTCCCCACCTCCAATGTCCAGAGGCTGCTGCTGCTGCTCTGGGCAGCTCTGCACACCCATGAACTGCACGGTGACAGCCTCCCTCCAGGCCCCTCCCACACACAATACTGAGCAGGAAATATTCTAGCTTGGCAGAGGGGCAGGTCACCTGGCAGAGGAGCAGGTCACCGATGCCCTTGGCTCCGAAGGCCGGGACCTGCCACACTGTGGGTCCGTCAGATGAGGGGCCCTGGGCAGTATGGTCAGTATGGTCCCCACATTAGCAGGTACTACAGGGACAGTCGACCTCACAAACTCTGGGCTAAAGGGAGCCCCTAAGGTATCTGGGGTCCAGCCCCCAACACCTGCCCACTGACCGATGGCCCACGGCCTCGTGGGTGCGAAGCTCTCTAGGCACGGCAACTGGGGAGGGGGAGGCCCAGCCACCAGGCCCCGCTTCCGCCTGCACGCCCTCGGAGGGAGCAGTCCTCTGGGCACCTGTGGGGTTGCGGGCGGGGCAGGGCCCTGCTGACAGCTGGCGGGGAGTGGCCTGTGGGGTTAGGGTTGGGTGTCAGGTGGGAGCAGGGACACACAGCTGCCCTCAGAGGGCTGGACCGGGCACACAGGATGGTGGCCGTGCTGGTCCCACCTGGATAGGGCATGGCACACGGAGGGCTGGGCCTGCTGGAGGCTTCCTACCCCCAAGGGTCGTCATCCCTCAGGGGAAAAGGGCTCCGGGGCCTGAAGGTAGGGTGCTAGGACCTTCCTGCCCACCCACGCCGACCGGGGGCTGGGGGCAGGTGGGCCCGTCCCAGCCGGGCAGGGGCCCCGCAGCAGCATACACAGATGCGCAGTAAAACAGGAGAGCTTTATGGTCCGAGTGGTGTGCAAGGACAACAAAAGAACACGAGTGTTGTGGGCCTCCCCGCTTGGCCCGCGCACGCCCGAGCTCAGGTGCGGGTGCAAAGCCGGTCGCCGTGCCTGGAAAGAGCTGCCCCCAGAGACGCGCCAGCGCCGCCTGCCCTCTGCGCACAGGTGCCCCAAGGGTCTGGGGACCAGAGGTCTGCAGAGCCGGCGCAGCTGAAGCGGAGGCCGCTGCATGCAGCGGGCCTGGGTGAGTGCGTGCGGCGGGCCGAGGGCAAGCAGGGGCCGGGCGGGCGACGGGAACATTGCCCCAACCCTGCAAACAGCCTCACGGGCTTCCTCGGCCTCAGTCCCATCCCTGAGAAGCGCTGGGGGCCGGCTGCCCCTCCCCGCAGGGCAGGCCCAGCGCCCCCAGCACATGCGGAGCGCCCTGTGGTCTGCGCGCCAGGCCTAGAGCTCCTCATAATCGCCGCCCCCGCGGAGGTGGCCGCCCGGGGCCCCGCCCCCCAGGAAGGCCTCCAGCTCGTCGACCGCAGGCCTCTCTGTGCCCCGCCGCCGCCGCCGCTCCTCCCGACCCTTGTCCTCCGCTTGGTCCCTGCTCTTCTTCCGCCGGCTCTTCTTCTTCACGGCCTTCTCTTCCTCCTGGGGGGGGGGGGGCGTGCAGCGTCACCCGGGGGCTGGGAGAGCTGGGCCCGCCCTGCCCAGGGGCACCCGGGAGGGCTCAGGGAGCGTGTGTACCTCTCTGCCCTTCTTCTTCTTCTTCTTCTTCTCCTTCGAGGGAGGCCTGCCCTCCTTATCTGCACGGATGAGACGCAGCCTCAGCTCCCCGTGGACCAGAGGCCAGGCCCTCCCCGGGCCTCCCGGACTGGTGTGAGCCTGGGAGTGGGCGGGTCTAGCAGAGGCCCTGAGCCGGGGTCCCAGTGTGAGCACAGCCCAGAGTGAACACCCAGCACCTGAAGCCTCTGCCCTGGGTCTGGGTGGGCCCCTGGCTACAAAGGCAACAGGAGCCGCTCCTGTGGACGGGCCGACACTTCAGCACCAGGACAGGCCCAGGAAGGTCCTTTCCTCCCCACTTTGGGGACGAGGCAGTTCCAGGACCGGCCCGGGTGACGCTGCTGGGCTCGAGCTGCCCAGGGTGGAGGCTGGGGATGAGGCAGGGAGCGGTGGAGCTGGCCAGGGTCGTCATGGAGCACATGGGGGCCCAGCAACGCAGGGCCGGACTGAGGGCTCAGAAGAGCTTACAGCAGCGCTGCCCACGCCGCCAAACGCCTCCCCTGTGGCCACTTGGTCAGCTGCCTCAGCTGCCCATCCTTCCAGCCTGGTCCTGGCCTGAAAGCCTGGGATGTCGTCAGAACACAGCCGGACCCCAAGCAGGGCAGAGAAAAAAGAAGAAACTGGGCTTCCGGCCCCGCGGGATGGCCTCGCTGCTTGCGCCCCTGTGCTCTGGGGCCCCCAGGTTCAAAGGCACAGGTAAGGGGGTCAGAAACATGGCCCCTGGCTGGGACACAGTACAAGTCACCAGTGCCGACGCTGTTGGATGGGGAGGGAGGGGCAGGCGTGTCGCCCCGCAGCTACCTTCCTCGCTGCTCTCCTTGTGGCCTGTGTTCTCCAGCCCCAACCCGAAGAGATCCGAGTCGTTCTTCAGTCTGAAGGAGGGGGCAGGGGGTTTGGGGGGCGGGGGCGGCTGGACAGGGCCGGCTTCCTCATCCGTCACGTCCGAGAGGTCCTCTCGCACCGGGAACTCACACTGGAGAAGGAGGGGGCAGGTGGGCCGCTGAGCCCCTCCCCAGTTCCCTGTCACGTGACTCCGTAAGGAGGCTCCTGCGCCGGCCCCGCACCAGGGGCTCACCCAGAGTGACGACAGCCCGAGCGGGGCAGCCGTGACGCCGAGGCCCCCCACCACATCCTCCCCAGAACGGGGGCAGCCTGGGCCTGGCACACGCAGCCCCCTGCGGGGCAGCCCTCCCGGCTCAGCCAGGCTGCCCTGACTCACGCCCCGCGAGACCCCTGCTGCGTTCTCGTGCCTCCCGTGCCTTTCTGCCATTCCCCACCCACCACTCGCCCTGGACTCGGAGGCAGCGTGGTGCCAAGATTGGTCCTCACCGCTCTCCGCTGAGCATCTGAGTCACTCTCAAAGTCAGGGTCGTCCATGACGAAGGAGAGCATCTGGGCGGCAATAGGCCCCTCGGGGTCACTCTCCGATGACACCTGCTTGTCCCCCCGGTCCTCCAGCCCCGGAGAGGAGCCCTCAGTGCCGCCTGGCCAGTGGGGCTCTGTGGCCTTGGGAGCTGCGTCCTGGTGTGGCCTCGAGGCCTTCGTGGAGGAACTGCAGGACACACAGGAGGGTCACGGAGCCTGAGGCTGCCCTCCCCCGCGGGACACCCCTTCCTTCCCACCCCCAACATACCGTTTGGTCCCTGGTTCAGAGCACTTCTGGGGGGCCAGGACGGTGGCCTCGTGGCGCCCTGCCGCCACCTCTTCCTCCTCGCTGGACAGAGTGATGTGCTCCCTGGGGATGGGGCCCGTGGGTGGCAGGGGCCTACTAGGCGGCTTATCTTCAAGGTCCACGTCGTCCTGGAAACCCGCCACCATTGGGTTCCCTCCTGGGGCCTCCCCATCACTGCAAAGGACAAGCGGGGCAGCCAGAGGTCACGAGTGGGGTACGGAGCACCCACCCTGATCACCAGGCCGCTCTGTGCCAGGCAAGGGCCCTGACGGCGGGGTTGTCCACCCTTGCATGGACGCAGCAAAGGGGGATGCACTTCGAGGGTGGCCTTGGGGGCTGTCCCGTGTAGGGGACCCACCACATTGCAGCAGAGCTGTGGCAAAGGTCGACAGGAGAGCAGGTGTGAGGTGGGCTGAGGAGAGGACAGAGATGCCCCTGTGCGGCGGGAAGCCACGGCGGGGCCCGCGGGTGGACACCTGAAGTGGGTGCCCTCCCGTGGGGCAGTGGGGTGAGGGGTGTGGGGCCCAGGGTGATGAGGGGCTCAGTGATGCCGGGGCCCTCCCTTGGCAGGGGCACAGTGCTGGCTTCGGCCTGGTATTTTGCACTTTGGGACACGCGGTGATGGTGGAGGCGGAGCGGCGGGCCTCACTTGGGCTCGGCACCGGGAAGGGAGAGTGTGCGCCGGGCCTCGAGCCTCTCCCGTGCGGCCCTGACCGGCCACCTGCTGCGGGAGAAGCTGACGGCAGCTCTTTGGCCCCAGGATTCCTCCTTCCACCCGGCCAAGGCTCTCAAGTGGCATCAGCCCGAGGAAGTCACTGACAGGAAGATGCCACCGACAGGCGGGTCACCGGCTCCCTGCTCCCTCCCTGCAGGTGTGAGGCTGCCCTTCCCGCAGCTCCTCAGGCCCAGCTCTGCTTCTGTCCCCAGAGCCCAGATGGGGTGCCTGTCCCCTCCGCCCGCCCAGTGCCAGGGAGGCAGCAGTCCACACCTGACGGGCCGAGGGCCAAGGCTGAGGACGGCAGCAGCTACCTGCCTGCCTTCCAGGCCCCGTGCTTACCTGTCACTGTCCTGCGGGACCTTGGCTCCAACTTTCTTTTCATCCTTTGGGGGGGCTACGTCCTCCAGGAAGCTGCGGTCAAGACTGTCGTCAGGAACAAAGTCCTCCACGTTCTGGACTCTTGCCGGGGCCTCTGAAGCTGGGGCCGGCTCTGTGGACAGCAGGCACCAACTCTTGCCCAGCGCCCAGCCCAGCCGGGTCCACCCCAGGCTGGGCCACAAGCAGGATGCTGTGTGGCTAGGCTGTGGGGCTGCCTGCCCAGCAGGAAGAAGGGGGACCCCATCCTGGCCGGCAAGGGCTCCCGGGGCCAGGGAGACAGGGCTGTGCCCCACTTGGGATGCCTGTGCCCACCTCCCGAGGGCTGCTTCTGGGGCCTACCTGGGGGTGAAGGGGCCACCTCGGCCGCCGGCGAGGTCCCGAACAGCCGCGAGATGATGCTGCGCCGGGGGGGTGCCGCGGGGACCAGGGGGTGTGCAGGGGCTGGCGGCGCCTCCGAGGGGCAGGGGGGCCCCAGGCAAGCCGAGGGGGCCTGGAGGGGCGGCTGCGGAGCCGGCTGGGGTGTGCTGGGGCTGGAGCTCCCCGTGGACACTGCACTCAGAGGCACCACAGGAGATGGGGAGCCCGAGGATGGACTCTGCCCGTTGGTGGCCAGCGGGGACGCGTGGCCACGGCTGCGGGCCTCCATCATCTCAAGGAAGCTGGGGGCAAACAGGGCAAGGGGTGAGAAAGCCACCTCCCTGCGCCTCCTCCTGAGGCTCCTCAGAGGCTGCTGCTGCTGTGCTGATGGGGACGGGGTGTCCCCGCTCTCAGGCTCAGAGCCCCTATCTGCCTTTCCAGGTTTCCCAGCGCAGGCTGGTGGCAAACACTGCAAGCGCCCCCAGGGCGGGGAGTGACAGGTGCGAACACCAACACTGGCTGGGAGTCTCTTCCCTCAAGTGGAAGGGTGCGCGTGTGCAGACAGGCAGGCTTTGCTGTGCCCCCGCTCTATGCCCCCTGACCCTGTTTCTAGAACCCACCTACAGGGACAGGCTGCAACCCTCCCAGACAGGGAGGGGCCTAGACCCGGGCAGCCTGGGCCCGACCGTCCCACTGGCTGAGGACCCTGGTGTCACCTAGGCCTGTAGCAGGGCCCTCCTCCCGTGGGGTGGGCTTTCAAACAGAAGGTGTGGAATGGAGAGCCGGCCTGTGCTTGTGGGCCGGGGTCCCGGGGGGCTGGGGCGTCCGGGCCGGCCGGCCTCACCTCTAGGTTGGTATTTGGGTGAGGGGGTGGGGGGTGGGAGGAAGGACGGGCAAGGCACTGGGTCCTGGCGCAGGCTGGGAGCGGATCCGCCCCAGACCTCGTCCGGTCCCCCAGCTGCTCAGGGGAGGTCACAGGGACACCACAGCCGAGCCCCCCCGTGGTGCCGCCTTCTTCCAATGGCCTGGTCCCGGGGGCTGGCTGGGGACGGACGCTGTGGGGAGGCTCCAGATGCCACCTCCCCAGGGACCCTATGCTTGGTGACGCCGGGCGCCCAAGCTCTCCGTCAGAGGACACCTTGCAGGAGCTGGTCAGCCCCAGGGTGGCATCCACAGCAAGGCCAGCCTGGCAGACGGAGCAGGTGAACCCCCGCCCAGAATAACTCCTGCTGCCCCCCTCTCGCTGTTCCAGGACCAGCAGCTGGATCTTTCTCGGGAGACCCAAAGGCCCTTCCTCGAGTCCCTCTGGGGCAGCTGGGAGGTGCGAGGGTCCTGCCTGGGCCGCAGCCAGAGCCCGTGCTCCAGGCCGTGAGCACAGGTGGGGCAGCAGCCTGCGCCCCACCCCCCAGCCCCAACATTTGGATAATTCAACAAAACAAAGGAAGCACCTGTTTTTAGGGGTGGTTCAGGGTTAGGCCTTCCCCCACGAGCTGTGGAAGGCGGACGGGCCTGCTACCTGCTCTGGGCGCCCCAAAACCCTGCGAGGGCAGAGGAGGGCCTGCCCGGGGGCTGCTCCCCGCCCACTCGGCCATCCTGCTGGAAGTGGCAGGACAACGCCCCTTCCTCCACTATCAAGGGCCAGGAGATTTCGTTCCCACCCAACATGCCTTCCCAAGGTCAAGGAGCTCTCTCCACTGGCATCAACCTCGGAAACCTATGTCAAAACAGGGACGGGGCCTCGGCTGGAAAACGCCAGGGTGGCCGGTCTTGCTGGGGCCTGCGGTGGACACGTGGCCGGGTCAGCGGCTCCCCCTTCTGCATGCCAGGTGGCCGACAGGCGGGCCGGTCTGGACAGAGGCAGGCGGGGGCCAGGCAGCTAGAGCGCCTACAGCCGCACCGGGCCCGCACGCCGTGTTCCCTCCACCCCCGCAAGGCACGCAGCTGTCTGAGGGCAGCAGCTGCAGAAGCACCTCCGTGAACTGCTGGCCACGCTGTGTGCCCGTCACACCCGGTTAAAGCAGGCCGGGCCCGAAGTGCTCAGTGGGCGGGGGCGGCAGGGCCCTGGGGTGTCCAACCTCATATCCTCAGGGCCAGCAGGAGCCCGGTATCTGCTTCCCAAGAAGAGCCGAGGCCTGACAGCGTGGAGAGAGCCACCCTCACCCCCTTCCCATGGGGCCTGGACCACATTCAAAGCTGAAATGACTCCATTTCTTTGAGCAACACACCTCCACGCGGACAGATCTACCCGGGTGGGTGGCACTCAGGCTGTGGGCCCGCTGAGCGCACACCCGAGCTCAGAGGGAGGCCTGGCCCACAGGGTGCACGTGCCACCTGCCCGCAGAGCCCCGCCTGCAGGGTCTAAATGCTGAGGGCAGCCGCGGCCGACATACATGTCGTAGTTCTGGTCCTCGGTCTCCTGCTGCACGGACAACTCCTCCAGCGTGGCATCGATGTCCAGCTGGTTCGTCTCCAGCTGCCGCAGCAGCGTCTCTCTCTACAGAAAGGAAGCAGACCCCTGAGCCGGGACCGTCGCTGCGGTGAGCCACCCCTTCAGCCTGGCGCCCCTCTCGGCGGGCCCTTGATGGACAAAACCACCTGAAGCTGAGTGCCTGGAGCCGGGAGCCCGCACGGCCTCGCCCAGGGGGGCATGATGCCTCGGCTGCTCTGCCCGGCTCCAGGGGCAGAGGTCGTGATGCGAGCGAACCGCCCAGAGAGACAGCGCCCTGTTCACACAAGGTACCCCAAAGTGTAAGAAGCCCCAACACTTGCTGAAAACCACGCGCTTCCTGCCAGCCCCAGGCTCAGGACCAGCAGCGGCTTCCAGCTTCCATCCTGCCCGATGCCACCCCCCAACCCACGCTGCGGGCGTCTTCCTGCGAGTTGTGTGCACGTTTTACTTGGACAGAAAGTGAAAGGGACTCCTTCAGGCGACGAGGATCAACACCCAGGAAAGGGTGGCCAGCACGTCTGCGAGGTCTGGACACCCTGAAAACGCCCGCCGCCCTGGCCTGCAGAGGCCTCATCCCTTCAAAAGAAGGCGAGAGGAAAGGAAAGAGCCGCTCGCCCGCGTAAGTTCCACATCCTTCTGGAGAAGGGCCACGGGTCAATGTCCCAGTGACAAGCCGCGTGGGTGACACGTGCCCCGCCATGTGATGAGCAGGGCAGTCACCTCTGGGGTCTCGCGCACAAAAGCCCATCACCCATCTGAGGTCAGACAGACCCTGAGCCAGGCACGTCTGAAGAACTGTCACAGCCCAGCGCAGCCGCGGAAGAGTGACCGGCACGTGTGGGGTGGGCTGGGTGGGGCCCAGGACAGAGCTGGCGGGAGGTGCCGACAAAGCCTGGTTCTGTGGTCTTGATGGGAACGCGTGGGAACATGAGGCTGCAATTGGGAACTGAACCGGGGCACGGAACCCTCTGCGCCCTCTGCAAACCTACAACTGTTCCCAAATACGAAGGTCAATAACACCAAGAGCAAAGGGCTGCACAGTAGGCAGGGGCTTCTCGGGCCCATCCCGGCACCTGTCGCCAGAGAGGGGCCAGGTCCACAGCGGGGACACAGCGGCACGGCCACAGGGAGGATCCGAGGCGTCCTGATCTGGGTGCCGGGGCCGAGTGCACCTCCTCGGTGAGGACGGACACACGAGGGCCCCAGCAGGGGTCAGCGCAGAGGGTCACAGCTCCCGGGAAGAACATGCAAGGACACCCATGTTCTCCCGCAGCTGGTGGGTCCGTGGCTCCAGAAAGGCCCAGGTCCCAGACCACCAGGCAAGGGGAGGGGACAGGGTGGGCCATCCAGGGGCCGCCAGCATCCGCACACGGCATCCTAACTGACGGCCTCACTCCAACCAAACCACCAAGCTGCCCGCCCGCTCGGGCCCCGTCCCTGCGCCACAGCGGCCCTGGCAGATCAAGCCCCACGCCCCGCACACTGCCGGCAGGGCTCACCTGGAGCTGCAGGAATGGGATGTTGAAGAACCTGTGCAGGTACTTGAGCCCGAAGCTGTTCTTCATGGAGGACTCGGCGTAGCGGAAGTAAGAAGACCCTGGGGGCCTGTTCGTGAAAAGCACGGAGACATGAGACACGGTGGTGGCAGCGGGCAGCCTGGCCTGGCCCCTCCGGGCCGGGCCACCCTTGGCGCCAGCACCCCCTTGCAGGGCTGAGTCGCCTCCTGTGGGTGACGGGCTCATGGTCCACAGGCGGAGACCTGAAGTTCAGAGGGCTCTGCCTAGCCGGGCGCCCACCAGGGGATGCCTGGACCAGGAAGATGCTGCCTGCCTGCCCGGCAGGACCTCGAGGCACCATCCCCAGTGCCCGGCCCCGGCCTCAGAGATGGAGGGAGGCCGCCCCCACCTGGCACCTGGGACTGCTCGGTGCCAGGAAGCCAGGTGCCCACCCACACCCCGCCCTCCAGGTCTGCGTCCCCATCCCGGAGGGGCAGGGTGCGGGCCAGGCGGGGCAGGGAAGCCGGGGGAGCTGGCGCACCTGGGGACCCGAGGCCGTGCAGCTGGGTGGGCGGCCAGGGCTCGAGGCAGAGGAGGGCGCAAGCAGGAGCGTCCCAGGCGGACAGGCCGACCGCAGCAGCCGCGCCTGCGAGCTGGCACCCACCTGTCCAGGTTGTCGATGAAGTCTCGCGCGTCGTCGGGCAGGATGACGCGGTGCTCGCCCATGTCGCGGTAGTTCCCCAGCACGCACACAGGCACGTGCGTCGGCACTTTGGGAAGCTCCCGGAGAATGTAGTTGAAGGTCCTTGGGAGGCGCATGTGGGGAGAGACCCGCCTTAGCTTCCGCCCCCAGGGAACAGCGTGGCTGAATGGCCAGCATGCACACTGCCCACGGCCAGCCCTCAAGAAGCACTGAGTGGGCCAGCGCCCTCACCACTGCTTGGTGATGTCGAACATCATGACCACCCCGTTGCAGTTCTTGTACACGTCCAGGAACTCGGCATCCAGGGCCATCTCGGACTCCGCCTAGGGATGGGGGAATCGGGCCTCAGAGACGGTGCCCCAGGCCAGGTCCCACAGGCGAGCACCCGCCAGCTCCTGGGAAAGGCTGAACAGGACTTTTACAACTGAAAAGACAATGGCTATTTTCATTTTGGGAAAAAGAAACATAGACGCAAGGTTATCTGGGGTGGAGGCCACACCGTGCCTGCCCTCAGCTGAGGGTCTCCCGCAGTGGCCGTCGGCGGCGTCCCGACCTTGGGGCTCACAGACGCTCCACTCTGGGACAACTGAGCTGAAGAAATGCGTCGCAGAGCTGACGATGCACGTCCCAGAGAGCCGCCCAGAGCACACACACCAGGGAGGCTGCAGTGCTGGGGGCGGTGGCAGCATGCCCACAAAGACCACACAGACCTGGGCCAGGCGGCCACTGGATCTTCCTATCCTAAAAGGGAACCCTAAAGGCTGCCCGCCGTCAGGAGGCCGTCTACGGACGGGAGGACCCGGAGAGAAGGGCCCTTGGAAGCCGTCAGAAAGCTTTGCAGCTGGCCCCTGAATTCTTTGCGTCGAGGTGGCGGCCGTGGTGAGAGCCCTCTCGGAGCCACACTCATGCCCACGTGTGCCTGGGGCCACACCTGAAGGTGTGCCGATGCTTTTAACGGCTGAGGCCTTTGTAACACGGATATAAAATTTGGCCACTTCACCTAAATACCTCTCAGGTCACCCCAACTCCGAGTAGGGTCTGGCGGGCATCCCTGACACAGAGCAGCAGCTCAGGTGACCCCAGCCACCCCAACGCGACCAAGGGCAGCACGGGAGTGGCCACTGAGTGCACCTGAGTCCACCAGCACAGATGGAGTCCTCAGGAGGGCCAGGCCAGGCGGGAGGCAGAGGGGTCTGAAGAACAGATGCCTGCTCACAACCCCCCACCCGAATAGTGGGCCACGTGGGAACAGACGCAGCTCACCTCCTGGGGTTCATTCTCCATCTTCAAGGCATCGCCTCGCTTCTTGCATTTTCCTTAAGAAAAGACACAAAGTCACGGGGTGGAAATGCTGGGCCCAAGGATGGCCTGAGCAGGTAGCAGCCCCTCCTTGTGTCCCACTGCCCCCCATGCCCCTGCCCCCGCCTCCAGTAGGTGCCTTACGGGCTGGGGTTGGAGCCGCCGGGACCCTAGGGCAGGACATGGCCAGGACCCCAGGGAGGCCACGGAGGCTCCCTGAGCCGGTGCTGAGGGTGGACGAGCTGGGCTTGGGGCCAGGAAGCCGTGGAACCACCTGAGCAGTAAGAGCTCCCATGCCCAGCCTCCCTTCCCTCCATCTCAGACATTTCTGACAGGGGAGAAAGGACCACTCGTCACCCTAGGGTCCTGGGGCCCTCAGTCTCAGAGCAGCGGGCTAGGTGAAACCAACAAACTGGGGTTCGTTTATTAGAAGGCCGCCCTCTGCCTCTTCCACAGCCTCTCCCAGAACCTCTCACCACCCTCTGGTCCCGTCTCTGGAGGTGCCCCAGCTCAACGGACGCTGGCCACCTCGCGCCCTCCCAGTGGATGCCTGGGGCCATGGGGTCGAGGCCCGAGCACCACGACTGCCGACAGGTGTGGCCAAAGCCCAGGACGTGCCACCACCACCCAGCTGCGAGCAGAGCGGAACCTGGGCCGGCGCTCCTGGGAGGAGGGCCGGGCAGCCAGAGTTACGCCGCGCCCACGCCCGCCACGAGGGGCACCATCTCTCAGCCGCCGCCACCCCCCTCCAACTCGATGCCCTTTGCTGCTGTGGACGAGCCTCGGACCGTGTCCAACAGGGGACCAGTCAGGGTGGTAGAGAAGGCACGTTTCCTCCCCACTCTGCAGATGACACCAGATGACGGAGCCGTGGGGATGCTGGACGCTCATACGGAATGCTGCCCCTGCCCCTGGCCGCCAGCACACGAGCAAGCCTCCTCTCCACGCTGCAAGGAGCTCTGTGGTGAACAGCCACCCAGGGAACTGTGGCCAGCCCATCACTGCCCTTCCACGGGCGGGAAGTGGGGTGCTCGGAGGTTCCCAGAACAGGGCAGTGCCTGCCTCTGTACCATGAGGCCGTTCCCCCCACTGAAGACACGACATGCTGCTGCATGGAAGGGGTCCCGTCAGCAAAGACAGAGCCCATTCTGGACATGTGCATCCCGTCCCGAATGAGTGCGGACCCAGGGAGTCGGAGCCAGGCACGCGGGGCAAGGGTGCGGGATGTGCCGGGGCACGGAGGGCAGCCTGGCCCGAGCGACGGCTCCCCCTCACATCCGGGATGGCGGCTGGGCTGCAAGGGGCTGCTTCCTAGTGCTACCCGGCCACACGCACACAGGACGCAGTGCAAGCACGCTCTGGAGCACGAGGCCCCTCCAGGCACTGTGGGGTTTAAGGCATCCTGGGGGCAGTAGCCCCAGCATGGCGCTCGGGCTCAGGGCAGCAGCGTCCTCACCTGGCTCGATGGGTCCTCGGGACCCAAACCCACCTCCAAAGAACGTGGTGTAGGAGAGAGTGCGTGTCCTGCACCAGAAAACACAAGCTCATAGAAGACAACGTCCCTTTGTCCCTGAAGGACGGGAGGAGCTATAGCAGGCCTGCGGGGTCTGAGGCCGGGTCTGGGGGTCGGAGGTCAAACCTGCGAGGCCAGACCACGGTGTGCACAGGGCACTGGCCCCAGGAAGGAACACGAGCATCACACAGGAGGGGCCTGTGGCCTGTGTGCGAGGAGGAGATGAATGGGATGAGACGCTGGGGGCGAACGTGCCACGCCCCCACCCCGGCCCGCCTGCTGCACACAGGCACGGCCGTTTGGGGTCTGTGTGCGTGCTGGGGTCCCCGAAAGCTCAAGCCACCTCAGAAGCCAAGGACCCTTGGCCCTGGGCCCCGGGGCAGGAACAAGTGGGCTGCCACACCCATGGTGCTGCAGGAAGGACTCCCTGAACAGCCCCACAGAGCCTCTGGGTGTGGTCCGTGTCTGCCCTCCACGGCCACGTGCTCAGCTCAAGTGGGTGGAACAGGTGTTTCAAGAGCAAAGACCATGGTGCCCCGACTGGTCAGCACCGGGCGCTCCATCCTGGACCACACACCCGGAGCCCGACGGCACGCTCAGCACAGAGCCAGGCCTCCGATGGGCCCTGTGCCCAGGAGCCAGAGTCAAGGGAACGAGGCGCCAGGAGGCGGCAGAGGAGGGGCCGCCACCGAGGGAGAGAGGACAGCTGTTCTCCTCCACAGCGCAAGCAAAGCTTGAAAGAGAAAAGCACGCTCATAGGAGGATCTGACTTACCTTTGTCAACCACATCCCAGACTTCAACTTTCACGATATCATCAGTGGCTAGAATAGGGGAGAAACAGTCAGATGAGCATGCAGTGTGAACTGCCGGTTCCACAGATGGGCCGCGCGGATGTCACTGTCCCACTCGGTGCCTCCCCAGGGGCCCCAGCTCCCGCCCAGGGTGGCGGGTGCTGTGCCCAGGACACCCCTCCCTGGAAGGCAGGGAGCAATCTGGACACCTCCTCCGCTGACACGACCCCGTATCCCGAAGGGTCCCTGGGGCAGGCTCGCCCCCAGCCTGAACCCGGCCCCCGCTGGCCCCCGGCTTCTGCGGGAAGGCCCAGTCCCCGTGATTCTGCCCTGCTCCTTGGTAGAGGCCTCGGCTCCGCTGCTTGCGGGGGGCCAGGGCAGCAGGCTCTGGGATGGGCCAGTCTGGCATCAGGGCCTGTGCACGTGCCCGGGCTGTCAGCGGGTCCACCCACCACCCCAGGGATTCCGTGGGGAAAGGGGAGAGGCGGGGAACTGCCGGGCACCTGCCACCAAGCTGCAGGGCACAAGAAGTGCGCTGTCCCCGCCAACTTCACCCAGACCGGGAAGGGGTGCCCTAGGGAGTGAGGCTTCCCTGTGCAGCTGGTGGGCAGGGCAGCACGAATGTACATAGCTGTCCTACGTCGCGGCCTGGCCGTCCCTAGGAGCGAGCCGGAATGTCTACAAAGGCCCGTGTGCCCTGCTGTTGGCCCGCTGGATTTTTTTTTTCAGCGAAAAGGAATGTTTAAAATGGCTCAAAGGGCTTTTGCTTTCTGGCTCCTGGGCACGCAGAGTGGATTCTCTCCCTCCCAGCAGGGCGCCCCGTGGCCGCTGTCCCCAGGCGCGGAGTGGAGGTGCTGCCATTCTGCCTCCGGCCGGGTGGCCGCCAGGTGTGTTCTGCCCATCAGGCAGCCTCGCCAACAAACGCCCTCCCAGGACCCCGTGGGGACGGCACCTCACAACTGCCGCTGAGAGCCGGGCTCCAAGGCCCAAGGGGCCTCTGTCTGCCGCGGCCCAGCACGCACTGTGGCCGGGATGCTCCCTGCCCGGAGGCTCTGCCCCTGGGAGGTGGACCGAGTCTCCCACAGGACAGGGGACTTCAGGGCCACCCCAAAGCGGCTCTGATGAGCCCCCGAGTTCACGCGTGTGCGGTGTTCCTGTGGCGACCCCAGGCTGGGGGCGGGCAACGGGAGGAAGGCCCTACCCAGCAGGCCCCGCCCCTGGAAGCCCCGCCCCCCGCCGCCTCACTTTTGTAGCTCCAGTGGATGCTGGTGACCTGGATCTCCTGCGTGGGGATGTACTCCTCCACGAACTTCTTGCCCTGCAGCCGGTGCCACAGGGCTGTCTTGCCCGTGTTCCTGTCCCCTCGGATCACGATCTTCACTGTGGGGAGAAAGCACAGATGAGGCAGACAGTCAAGGCAAAAGGCAAACTTCCATTCCCCGAGCGGGTCCACGCATGGCTTCTCGTGCACAGACGTGGCCAGTGTGGCTGGCGAGCCAGGAGAGCTGGGTGAGGTGGGCTGGCCGGGAGCCCCCGCAGGGACGAGGCCGTGGGCACACGCTCGCTCCCTCGGGGCACCGGCAGCCCTGCTCTCCCCCAGGCCCCCGACCGACTTCCTCCGGGGCAGGTGGTCGACCTCGGGACCCTGCACTCGGGAACGCAGTGCTCCAGAGGTGGGTGCCCGTGGGACAGGTTGGGGCAGGCTGTGCTCACCTCTGCAGGCCCCATGGTTCCCACGTCCACTCTCACCCTCCTTTCCCAGAGCCCTGGCATCTTCGGGGCAGGATTCTGCAGGACGCAGGGCTCCTCAAGACCACATCTGGATCACAACAGGAAACCTGGATTCTACTCTGCTTGCTCAGCCGGTGTTTAGGAGCGTGTGCACGTGGAGGGCTGGGGGCAGCGTCTCCCCCACTGGCACCGGGCACCGGGCAGGGCCGGCGTGGTCTCCGTGTTTCTCACCCGGTCGTCCTGTAGGGCGCCGTCTTCTAAGTTTTCAATGTCTGGCACAAAGTCGTCCGTGACATCTTATGTTCTAGGCTTCGTGGTTGCTGCTGCGTACTCTTCATCCTCCCTGATATTTGTTTTGTCTTTTTAATTAACCTTCCCAGAGGCTCGTCTACTTGACCAGTCACGCACACACACCCTGTGTGTTTTGCTGGACGCCTCCACTGACCCTTCTTAGAAACCACTTGCTCCTGCGTTTTTCTTTGTCGTTTACTTCCTTTCTTTCTTGAGGTTTCTCCTCTTCTTCTCCTGGGTTTCACACCGTACTCTCGGGTCGACCAGCACAAGTGTGTGGGCTGTTCTCACTGGATTACAGATACTCCTCTGACCCATAAATTACTGAGAAATATTTCTAAGCTCCCCCGAACAGTTGTCCTCTTTGTTATTCCCATCCAGTCTGGCTCACTGTGGCCCCAGAACGTGGTTTTCGTGGCACGTACCCTCGGGGTCTGCTCGGACGGTCGGTTTTAGGAACGCTCCTTGGTGTGAGCGGGGCTGGGCGCAGACGCCTGCTCTTCACTGAGTCTTGCTCTCGCCCGGCCGGCTGTCTGACCTGCGCCCAGCATGAGTCCCCACAGCTCCGGCACGAGGACCCCACGGGTGCGGCTTCCTCGCGGCTGATACTGACCCACTGCGTGGTTCCACGACCCTGCTTTCGACCTTTCTATGCCATCGTGTGTTGGACGTGTCTCTTACACATCACACAGCCAGAAAGAAATCAAATCGCAGTCTCTCTTTCACTGGTGCGTCTGCCTGTTCACATTCCCTGGTTGCCAACAGCGGCGGGTAACCCCCTCCGCCACATGCGGTCATTTCCGGTCACTGCCGGGGCTCCCTCCCCTCTTTTCTGCCTCTTTCATGTTGGACGAGGGTTTTTTTAATTCCCCTTTTGCCTGGTATTTATTTGGAGGGTTTGAGATCTATTTCCTTTCTTAAATCTTTAACACACACCTCTGCTGCAGTGAAGCCTGAAGTTAACACGTGTCCTCGGCTCCCACTTAAACACACGCTGGTCAGCGCCATCGTGGGTTACACGCTGATTGCTAGCGCCTGGCTCCTCCTCCTGCGTTCCCCACGGTAGTCACGATGTTTGTTCACCCATTTCCGTGCTGACCTGTGCCTTGCAAACCTCCTCCATCTCCCGAGCTCCCTCTCCATCTGTCTGGAGTACCTCCTCCGGGACTTATTTCAGCAGGAACCTTCGCACAGAAACTGTCCAGCTGAGACCGGAGAGGGGCTTAATCGCACTCACTCACTTGGCGTAGATTTCTAGGCCGACCAGGATTTCCCCACAGGAACGTCTCCACACCATCACTGTCGGCGTGTTGTCAGGCTCTTGGCTGTCCCTCTGCTTGCACTGGTCGCTTCTACAATTCTCCTCTTTGACTTTGCTGTCCTGAAATTCCCATGATGTGTCCAACTCTGGGAGTCTGAAAGCCCTGGCCTTGGGTTTCTTGGAGTTTCACGTACTCCGGGAACTCCGGGAAGTCCTAGCCTGCATTTCTGCAGTAACTACCTCTTCTCCACCCCTGCTATTCTTTCCTTCTGAGACTCAGATCACATGTGTGTGGGCATCGCTCAGTTCTGGGCCCGCATCCCCCTGCCAGGTGCCAACTCCACCTTCAGCTATTACGCTGCTTCGCCCACCTGCCGGCTTTTTGTTTGCGTGACCGTGCTCTTTCATTTCTGCAGGGTCTCTTTGGTTCTTTTTTCAAACACGGCTTGTCAGTCCAGAGTCTTGATATAATCTTAGAACTGCTTCCTTCTTTTATATCTTTACCAATTTTAACATGTATTGATATTTGTTTTCTATTCTGTTTTGAGAATGAAAAGTCTTAATTTTCTCTCTCTTCAACTGAAATCCTTTTAAAATTTGAAATTTACTCTTCAAAAAAGTTAATTAGAAGAAACCGTACAACGTCAGAAATAAATAAAATGACCTGCTTTCATCCATTAAAAAAAGGAATTGGCCTCTACTTTTAAATTAAAAAGTCCAATCAATCTCAGAACCTTGGACACTGGCTGGGATAAGCTAAATAAGTGATCCACTGAAAAACCTGTAATTAAGATTCTCCCAAGAAGCGACGAGGAGCCCTTACTTAGGAAGCACGTGGCGCTTTACGCCAGGCGTTTTACTAAACAGAACAACTCTATTTCTATTCTACGTCTTTTCTTTTATTCTAAGTAAAGCTACAACGCAGAAGACCCAAGAATCTCTTCTACTCCGATCCAACAGTAATTCACTCACACGGCCACACATTTCCTGCAAGACAAGGAATCTTGCTTTTGTGTTTTCGTACAACAAAAAAAAAGCGCTTTATCTTGGATGCAAATGATGCAATCAATCACTCCGCAGGAGGCACAACTGAAATCCAGCGATGCCCTTTCTCCGTACCACCAGCAGGGGTCACTAGACACACGCCCAGCTGGCCACCTCCTCCTGGGCAGCCCCTCACCCCCACCGCAGCAGTGGCTCCTCTGCTCAGAGCCCTCTGAGGTGTCCCGTTCACAGAGTCCCCAGGACGGTGTGAGGGCCGCACTTCTGCGGCTTGGCCCCCCGTGCTTGTCTCCTGATCTCGCTCCGCTGTGACCCCTCGGCCCTTCTCCACGAGGCCCGCTCTGACCTTCTACGTAAAGTCCCAACCCCAGCCCCCACCCTGCTCCGTTCCTCCACCCTTCAGATGGGTGATATGGTTACCGCCTCATCATGCTTAGTGCCCACAGTCTGCCTTTCTACCCCCACTAGAATGGAAGCTCCACAAGGCAGAGACTGCCGTCTGGGTTTTCACTGATCTACGCTCAGTAAATATTTGCGAAGTAAATGAACGCTAGGGAAGGAAAACCTATAAATGAAAACGTGGCAGATCACGGGCAGCAAAGGCTCGGGAATTTGCAAATCGGCCCTGCTGGGGCAGGTCAAATAGTTTGCCAAACACAGCTGTTTATTTCCGAGAGAAAAAGCTCTCTTACCCAGAAACCAGCCTTTCAAAGGTTTCTTGGCAAGGAGGTGTTTAACTCCATTTTAAGTGCTAGCACTGAAATCCGACTGGCCAGGACTCTGGCTGTCCCAGCGTCTGGAGGCTTTCTCAGTAAGGAATGCAGCCTGGAGCAAGGGCACTCTGGACGAAACGCACAAGACCGGGCCTCCTCACTGGACCCAACACGGGTAGAAAGAGCAGACCAACACAGGTAGCATCCTTCCACTTAACACGCGAATGACTTCCAAACCATGGACAACGTCCAATGTCTCATTTGGGTTTTGATTCTAAACGGGATGTGTATGCTGGGACTCTGCATGGGTGTCACTTCTCATCGTCACAGCAATTTAAAAGAAAACGACTTATCTGCCCCAGGAGGACAAGGTTCTGTAAGAGACAATCATCAATTCTTACCCATAAAAGTCCTGAGTCTATAACTATCATATTGCTGGTTTGCTCTCCTAAGTAAGATGTTTTGGGAAATAAATATTAGAAATGTTCTATTCTACTGACTAATAAAAAAATTTTAAAGTTTCAAAATTGCAGTATTAGCCAACTACAGGGGCAGCATCACCCTGAAATGTCCTGTGGGCACAGCACCCCGTTTCTCTCAACTGCACCACCTTTCATTCATTTTGTTCCAGATCAGAATCTGCCCCCCCTCTCCCCAACTTCCTGAGGCAGGTCTCTTCTCTGGAAGGACTCCAATGTCCTTTCTACTTTTTTTTTTTTTTTTTGCGGTACGCGGGCCTCTCACTGTTGTGGCCTCTCCCGTTGCGGAGCACAGGCTCCGGACGCGCAGGCTCAGCGGCCATGGCTCACGGGCGCAGCCGCTCCGCGGCATGTGGGATCTTCCCGGACCGGGGCACGAACCCGTGTCCTCTGCATCGGCAGGCGGACTCTCAACCACTGCGCCACCAGGGAAGCCCCATCCTTTCTACTTTTTACTCCCGCCCACCCAGGACCAGGGGGTGTGCCCACCAGGGAGTGCTTTTCCAAAGGTGAACATTTTTCAGGTCCAGTTTCCAAAGGACTAAGATTAAGTTTTAAAAAATAATACCATAAATAGTAAAATTAAATAAGGGAACCAAAGGTGGATTGTAAAGACTTGTGTAAATGAGTATTTTGACTTACTATTATCCTCTTCTTGGAATGTGAGAGAAATACACACAAAATTGGGTAAAATACATGCAAAACGATCCCTCTTTTAAACCCGAAGTCTTTCCAATCAGTTTTTTAATATGGTACATTGTTACCAAAATCTGGGTCATCACAGAGACTGAAAGGCTCCCCTGAAAGTAGCAAAGGGAGGAATGTCCAGTATCTTGTAGCAATATATAGAAATACTTAAAAAGGAAAACAATTTAAAAGCAGAGAACATTAAAAAATCTTTAAATACCGCTAGCAAAAAGCCAGCAAGATGGAAAAACTTTAAAGAGGTCAAGAGGACGGTCAGCCTCTAGGAGCTACACAATTTACATAATTTATAACTGAGGACTGGAAACGACCTGGGCTTTCAGGGCATCTGGTAAATAACTTCTCTTTCCCGTAGGAGAAAAGAAATCTCTACAATAACAAGTAAGAGAGTAAGAGCCTGTGCCTTCTGGAGCTTTTCTAAATATATCCCTTACAAATGCTTCTTTTTAAAAAAAAGGGGGGGGGGTAAGAACGTGCGGTGTAGCTGACATTCCGTCTTCAAACGGGGTTCGAAGTCTACAAAGAAAAATCCCATAGCTCAAACTACCGAAGACGGCGGAGTCCTCCGCTCTCTTCTCTTGCGGGTGACCCCACGGTTCATGGATGGAGAGCTCCACCACCCACTTTAAGAAGCGTCATACACCACAGACTCTCCCCACGTTATGTAAGAATCCCTCTTAGACGAGGTCACCTGGGCCAATGAGGGTACCGCAGACGCACCAGGAACCGCCTAGACCAATTTCACTCGAATGTCCCACCGTGCCAGCATTCCTCGGGAATGACCCACAGGTCAGAGGGGAGCGCCGCGGGCCGAGGAGTCCACCTTCTGGCCCTGGGGTCCTCTAGGACCTCCTCTCCGGCCCGCATCACCTCCCAACCCCAAGGGAACGCCCCTGGGGCACCCGCAACGTGCCCGGCACAGGTAAGGGCTCAGCTCACCTGCACACAGACGGCGAGGCCCTCGGAGCGCGACGGGTCCCCCAGCGCTTCCCGGGCGAGGCCCGCCCCGGTTACCACAAGTCCTGGACGGCGCGGCTGGGGCCTGCGGACCCCGCGGGACGGCGCCCGCTGCACCCGTGCCCCCACTTTCCACGTGCCCCCGCAGGAACCCCACGCCGGGCTACACTCACTGTTGTACTGCACCCCCTTGGCGAAGCGCCTCTGCAGCGCCTGGTTCATGGACTGCAGCCCAGCCGGGATGTTCTTGTCGCGGCCCGGAGCCTGCTCCGACCCCACCAGCTTCTTGAGCGCGGAAAACATCTTCCCGCTCCCACGTCCGAGCCCGGCGCGGCTCCCGAGTTCAGCGGCAGCGGCGGCGGCTGCGCGGCGCGGATCGCACCATGTCCCGGGCCCCGGCGACTGGGCGCCTGCCTCGAGGGCGGCTCAGGGGCTCAGCCGCGGAGGATCAGCTTCGTCCCCCGCGGACCCCGGCGCGGCCGCTCTGCACTCGTCAGCGCCGCCATCTTGGCGCCGGCTCGGCGGGGCGCGCGGCTACGGGGCTCCGCGAGGGCCAGAGGAGTGCGGCGCGCGGAGGGGTGCGCGTGCGCAGAGCGCTACGGTCGCGGGGCGTGCGGCTACGGGGCGCCGCGAGGGCCACGGGCGTGTGGCGCGCGGAGGTGCGCTCTCGAGCCGGGCGGTGTAGGTGCGGGGCTTTGGACTCCGCAGTCCCGCCTTACGAACTGCCCCCAGGGTTTCAGCTCAGCTCAGAGCCCCGTCCGCATCCCCGCCCGGACCCCCTACTCACTCTTACCCCTGCACCCTCGGGCCCAGATCCACACCGAGCACCCCACTGCGCCGCAGACTTCCCAACGCTGTCCCCCACATCTGCGTCCCCTCAGGTGCCCCGCAATCCTGGAAAATTGTTTATTTGTGTAACCAATGACAGCATGGGGGCGGGGTGTGCTGGCGAGGCGGGTTCTTCCTCTTCCGGTCACTTCTTCTTGGCTACCTTGAGCTTCCCCTCTATCAGCCGCTGGCCCTGCCTCTTGATCTCGGCCCGCGAGGGCACGTAACTGTGGTCCACGTCGGCGAACTGGAAGGTCTCTGCAAAGGAGCGGGGGGGGCGGGTGGCAGCCGCGCCCGCAGCCCGTCTGCCCCGCGAGGGTCCCCAGATCCTGAATTGTCCCCTGGCGTCCGTTCACCGCAGGGCCAGTTGTACCAACGACGTATATTTCTTACTTTCTGTGTCCCTGATGCTCTGGCATTTGGGGTCTCGCACAGCCGGGGAGAGAGACAGACCAGGGCTCACCCAGCCCTTCCAGAGCCCACACTCGACCACCTCTGTCTAACGCACACCCCAAGCCTGAATCACCCAGGGCCAGGTGCCAGGCAACTGGGGACAGCCCCTGTGCCCCAAACCTGCTGGAATTATTTGAACGGGCAGATCTTAAGCGGTGTGCCCCCTGCCTTGCCCTTTCCACAGAAACTCCAATAAGCGCCCTGACCAAGGCCTTTCCCCCTGCCTGCCTACCGGCACTGGTGCCTCCCTGTGTCACTAAAGGTGGTAAGTTCTTTCAATGGCATTAACTTCACCAAGTCACCTCCATAAATTAAAAATCCTGTGGGTGCAACTGACACACCCTTTCCATCCCTTTAGCCCCTGTGCCTCCAGGCCGCCCTGGTCAGATGCGGCAAGCGCCGTCCCCAGCCTCTGCCTCTGCACAGCTCAGGCCCACCGCCAGCTGCTGGGCGGCCCGTGCCTGCAACATCCTCCCCCCTCTCCTCAAAGCTGATCCTGGTGTTCTGCTTCTCCTTCAGGGCCGAGGGCTCCAGGGCATGCCTCACCTTCGTGTGGACCTGCAGGGCATGGGGACTGTCAGCTCTGAGGGCACACGGGGCGTGTGGGCACCCCCCGGGCCAGGGCTACCTCCTCTGTCCTGGGCAGCATCTGCGCTCGGTCAGCCAGGTACAGCAGCTTCCCCTCGCAGTATGCCAGCTTGCTGTACACATCCAGGGTGTCGGAGGGCAGCGCTTCTTTCTGTGACCAGGAGGAACAAGTCGTCTCCCTCTGGCCCCTCCAGGGGACCCTCTGTACTGGGGGCCCCTCCACGCTTCCCTGGTACCTGGGCCGTGGGCAGGGGGACGCCCATCAGGCGGATGTGGAGGTTGTCGATGCCAGTTTGGATGGTCAGCAGCAGCTCTGGCTCTTGGCCATGTTGGCGTGGGCCAGCTGCAGCCGGGCTTCCTCCTCCTTCAGCATGTCCTTCATTTTCTTCTCAACAGACTTCAAGCTGTTGAGGATGAGGGAGGTGGGTAGCGGACTGAGGGCAAGGTCGCGGAGTCCCGAGCGGGCGCTGTGCTGATTCGGGCTCAGGAGCTCACACGCGGGCACTTGGGGCCCCTCGGCAGTGGGTGCGCTCAGCTCCGAGCCTGGTGCCAGCCACGGGGCTGTCAGTGAGGAGGAGGTCAGGGGCTCCCGGGTGCCTGATGGAGCTGGGCATCACGCCCTCCGTCGCCAGCTCCTTCGTCACGGCCTCCAGCTGCGCCCGCCTCCCCTCACCACCCGCCACCTGCAGCGCCAGGTTCTCCTCCGTGCTCCTCTGAGCCAGGAAGCGGCCGGTGATGTCCTGGCGGGGCCGGTGGGGCGAGGAGCAGGTGTGAGCCAGGAGGGAGCTTGTTCTTCTGGCTTCCGGTGGTCAGTAACATTGACCGTGGCTGGGTGTTGAGGACCCGTGAGGCCCTCTGTGTGTGTCACCCTCGTGACAGGCAGAGGGGCCAGATGACCCCAAGGAAGAGCCAGAGAGACCACCGCCACGAGACTGCGTGGCTTTGAGTCACTCGTCCAAGGGTGGACAAGCTTACGTCAGGACCATGGACAGGAGCTCAAGGCTTACTGATGATAAATCCAGGGCGGATTAAAATAAAGGGGGTGGGGCGGAGGCAGCTGCTTACACGATGCTGTTGGTTTGGGAAGGGGAAGGAGCTAAGAGGTGAAGGCCGCCTCCTCGGGGTTTGAGATCCTCAAATTCCAGCGGGCTCTGTGCAGCCCCTGGAACACGGCTCGGATTTGCCATCTGCGTCCCTGGAGTGCCCGCTACTCTGAGCTGTGGGGCCGCTGCTTTGTGTGTCCATTCATGCAGCAGGTGTCTGCAGAGCCTGGCCCAGCTCAGCTGGGCCTTGGGCTGGGGCAGGGTCCCCACCTGTCCTTCTGCCCACACCCCAGGAGTGCCAGTACCCAGAGGTGAGGGCACCGCACAGCAGTCTAGACTTTCTCCACCAAAGCCGTCACGTCCGTCTGGTATTCGATATCAGCCTTGAAGGTCTCCCTCCTCCTCACTGGGCACAGCAGAGGGGAAGGTCAGCCGGCATGCAGGAGTGCTGTGGGAGCTCTTCGCGGAGCCGTCGGATGCCCCCGTACGTCGTCAGGGGAGGCCACCCAAGAGCTGGGTACCCGTCAGAGTCGCCTTCACCCTAACCGGCTCCCTGCTCGGCCAGCCCTCGAGGGATGCCCCAAGGCAGCGCCATCCGCAGGAGGACCCAAAGCGGCCTGGCACAGTGGGGCTTAGTGGGGCTTCTCAGAGGCGGCTCAGGGGTGCATTGTACAGCTGAGAAGCCGGGAGCTCAGCCACCCCTGGCCAAGAGCCCAGAGCCGGCAGCAGCACCTTGAAGCATGCGCTGTGACTGTTGGTGTGCTCCGGTGCAGGTCTAGCCAGGGAGGGGCCGGGGCTCGTCGGTCTCCCTCACCCCGGCCCCCGCAGGTTACCCCCACCTCACGGTGACCCACCTCTCGGGACCCTGGCTGGGGCGGCGGGAGCTGAGCGCTCACCTTTCAGTTTCGGGACCCATCAGGCTGGAGGGGAAGTGCAAGGGACCCATCAGGCTGGAGGGGAAGTGCAAGTCCCGCTGGCCCTGAGCGCGGAGTGGGAGGAGGTGAGAGGTGTCCTCTGTGGCACAGGGGCTGCTGTGCCTGGCGTGGCCCGGACGCACCCAGCGGTATTTCTCGCTGGTCTCCTTGGAGTGGATCTTGTCAGTGAGCTGCTTCTGCTGGTTGAGCCGGTCCTCCCATGCCTGGCGTTCCTTGATGAAGGTGGCCTCCCCTTTGCCTCATGTTCATCTGGGGACACAGGAAGGGGGCGGGGGTCTGTCCCACCAAGGCCACCCGGGGTGCTGACCCAGCGTCAGCGTCAGTCCCCGCCTTCCCGATTTGGGACGCTCCACCTGCGACCATCACCCTCACCCTTGCGTTCTGCCCTCCTCTGGGACGCCCCCCTCCTGCCTGGCCTCTGAGCCTTCCCTCGCGTTACGCCCCTCCAGCTGGGGTCGCTCCGGCTACAGCCATAGGCTCAGGTACCGCCTGGGACACGGCTCACAGATTTTCCTCTCCAACCCCGGTCCTCCGCTGCCTCTGCCAGCTCCCCTTACAACTCACCGGAGTGGCTTCCACATGTCTGAACAACTCATCATCTTCCCCCAGACCTCCTGCCTCCGGCACCTCCCGCTCTGGTGGCTAAAGGCGCCGTCTGTCTGGGCTCACGTGGCCTGGATGCCACGCTCCGCCCTTGCCTGCACGTCTCACGCGCCCCGCCCCTCACCGGGGTGGCCTCCTAAAGGCTTCTCGGCTCCGTCCGAGTTCGGCCACCCATCTCCAGCACTGGTCTGGCCCAAGTGACCAGTGTCTTGGCCCTGGTCCCCTCCAGTCTCTGCAGCCAGAGCACACCCGTTTGGAGACACGAATCTGATTCCATCTCCTCCCAGGGCTCCGGGTTAGGAGGGCTGCCACTGCAGCCCCGCCACCTGCTGCCCACACAGGCTCCAGCCCCCACGCCTCCTTTTGGCCCTGTTACACCCCAAGACTCTGTTGCCCAACCTCCAACCCCCAGAATCCGCCATTCACTGCCTTCCTGAGAAGGTCCGAACCCCAGGGTGGCCCCACTTCGTGAGGAGGGGGCAGGCTGGCCTGGCAGGGGCCTCGGCACAGAGTGGGTGAAGGGGTGGCACCTGCCCCGTCCAGGTCAATTCTCTGCCTTCTCTGTCTACCTCTGCCCAGGCTCACAGGTGGTAAGGCAAGCAGGCCGGCAGGGCAGCCACTGGACTCCTCCAGTGATGACGGGGGGTGTGGGCATGGGGGTGTCCCGACGGACCCTGGGCCAGACAGGTTCAAGAGATAGCCCTGCAGGGAGGGCCCCCAGCCTGGGACCTGCTCTCACCTTGACCTCATCCGTAATCATCATGGCATCTTGGGACATGACTGTCATGTCCGACAGTTCCGAGCAGTCGTCAACCACGAGATTCTGCAGCTTGTCCAGCTCTGTGGGGTATCCTGCCAGCTTCTGCAGCAGAAGGGCAAGGGCAGGTGGGCACAGAGCCTGACAGTCTAGGGACTGCGGGCCAACCACAGGCTCCCCTGGCCGCTCCCTCGTTCTCTTCTGGCCCCCAAAGTGGACCACGTCTACTCCCCACCCCTCACCCCGGGCTGTGCAAGTCCAGGGGACAAGTATAACCTGGCCTGTGGCCCCAGCCGGGCCCAAAGCAGGTGAAAGGACATGTTTGGGGAGGGAAGACAGCATCTTCCTGGTGGATTCTCTCACTGCCCAGGGCCAGAGTCCAGAGACACTTCCAAAGAAGTTGTGATGGGATGTCCCACGGCGTGAGCGGTGACTGTGAAACGCCGGAGGCTGGCTGCTGTAAGCGAAGAAGAGGGTCTCAAAACACTGGTGTGGGGTCAGAGACTCAGGACTCAAGGCCAAGGCTGTAACCTGACCAGCTAGCGTGGGGCCTTAGGAAAGCCTGGGTTTTGCCATGTGTAAAGGTAAGGTAATGGCTCTTTCAGGAGGCCGCTATCAGGCTGGATTGAGAAGGTATAATGACGTGTATTTAGCACAGGGCAGGTTCGTAAATGTCCAATATATCTTGGCTCTTAGGATTTTGTTGTTGATAACTACAACGTAGAATCTTCACTTTTTTTTTTTTTTTTTTTTTTTTTTTGTGGTACGCGGGCCTCTCCCGTTGTGGAGCACAGGCTCAGCGGCCATGGCTCACGGGCGCAGCCGCTCCGCGGCATGTGGGATCTTCCCGGACCGGGGCATGAACCCGTGTCCCCTGCATCGGCAGGCGGACTCACAACCACTGCACCACCAGGGAAGCCCCCTTTTTTTTTTTTTTTTTTTTAATGCAAGGGAGACTTCCCTGGTGTTCCAGTGGTTAAGACTCAGCGCAGGGGGCACGGGTTCGATCCCCCGTCAGGGAACTAAGAACCCGCATGCTGTGCCATGCGGCCAAAAAAAAAAAAAAAATGCAGATGACCACAGGAGTTATTTTTTTTTAGTGCATATGTTCTGAAAAGATAAGCAAGTACCACTGGGAGGACATGATGCATACAGGTGAAGGAGGGGCTGGACCCCAGGGTGCAGTCGGAGTGGGAAGGGGTGTGGGTAGGAGGAGTGGGCCCGGGAAGGACACGTGGGCAGGGCCACAAGGTGAGTGTCCAGGACCCGGGGCCTAAGGCAAGAGGGACAGGCTGGAGGACAAAGCTGCGTGCTGCTGGGCTCTGGGCACCGTGGGCAGGACTTGGGGGACATGACCCCAGCTGCGAAGAGCTGCAATGCCCACCCATCCCACACCCTCCTCCAAACGCATTTCTACCTGTCACCCTCCCGGCCACACTGCCCTCCAGGGCTTCCCCTCCCCCAGCCCCAGCATGAAGGTGGGGTCTTCCCTCTCTCTCTCGGCCCCCCCTGCCAAGCTGCTCCTCTTTGCACCCTGGCACCCAGCCTCCAGCCCTCCTCTCCAACTGTCCTCGTCCTCACCATCTTCCACCACCTGGCCTGTGGCGGGTGCCTGTGCTCTTCTGTGTGGGGGCCAAAGGGGGCCGCCAGTGAAGGGGGGTTGCCTCACAGCAGGGCTCACGGCCCCTGGGGGCTTCCCCCTGGCCTTCTCGGCAGGGAGCAGGGTGGCTGGCTTGGAAGAGGTGGGCAGCAAGCGGAGGTTACTGACCTGCTCAGAGGCAGCTTGCCCTGGATGATGTTAGGGGACTTCTGAGGGTGCAGGACCCATCTCTTGGCCTCAGAAGCCAGGGGATGAGAAACGATGGGGCAAAGTAAAAACAACACTAAACCATCAAATAAGAACCCAAACAGGACTTCCCTGGTGGCGCAGTGGTTAAGAATCCAACTGCCCATGCAGGGGACACGGGTTTGGGAAGATCCCACATGCTGCGAAGCAACTCAGCCCATGCACCACAGCTACTGAGCCTGCACTCCGGAGCCTGTGAGCCACAACTACTGAGCCCGCGAGCCACGACTACTGAAGCTCACAAGCCACAACTGCTGAGGCCCGTGCACCTAGAGCCTGTGCTCCGCAACAAGAGAAGCCACCGCAGTGAGAAGCCTGCACACCGCAACGAAGAGTAGCCCTGCTCGCCACAACTAGAGAAAGCCCGCACGGAGCGACGAAGACCCAAGCAGCCAAAAATAAATAAGTCAATAAATCACTAAATTTATAAAAAACCAAAAAACAAACAATTCTGATGTAGCACATGATACGCCTTTTTGGAATAGCAAATAAATTCTTGAAAGAACGTTTCCCACCTACAAGGTGCCGCTGCTCAGCTTGGTGCGCAAAGCGGGGCTCAGCCTTTCTCGGGGTCACCCGGCCTGGGGGAGAGCTGCGCGCCTGCGGGGCAGCCTAACCCGGAGGGCACGCCCCCGCCGAGATTCCCGCCCTTCCTGGCCAGCTGGGCTCCCTGGGACCGGGATGCGGTCTCGGTCTCCGGGTGTGGGTTGAGGGGCTCACTTGTTTCAGGTGGTCCAGCAGGTCCACGTACAGCAGGTGGGTATTCTGGCTAGTGGTGATCTTGACCATCGTCTTTTCTATGTTGTTCTCCAGCTGACGGATGACCTGGGCGGGGAGGAAGGGCACATTGAGAGTGCGTGGGGACAGGCCACCTGGGAGTGCAGAGGCCGGCGGGGGCGGGGCTGGGCTTTCTTCCAAGGGGGCCTCATCCATCTAGCCCCGCCCTCCCACAGAGCCCCGGCCCCTCCTCCTGTGGCCCCGCCCCCATCACCCTGGAGGCCCCGCCCCGCTCCCCGCCGCCACCTGCAGCATGCGCGGCTCCTCCTTGGTGGCCTCGGGCTGGTTCTTAAGGCTGGCCAGCTCCAGCTGCATGCTTTCCAGCTTCTGCTCGCGCCGCCGCACCAAGTCGATCAGCACGTTGTGCATATTGACGCGGTCGAAGACGTACTTACGCAGCTTCTCCCGCGCCACCTGGGTCGGGGAGGGCACGGCCCGCGCGTGGGTGCTCAGGGGCCACGGAACGCGCCTGCAGCTGGGCGGGCGGGGAGGGACCCGCGGCAACGCCACACGGACGCTGGGGCTGGGAACTCGCTCTGCTCCCCACCGGCTCCACATCGTAGTTTAGTTGGGGTGCACTGGCTGGGCGGGGCTGACGGGTCCCCCCCTGCTGCCTTACCTCCGTGGTGCAGCGGCTGTGCGCCAGGCTCATGGGCACGTCCTTTCCGCAGGCCTTGGAGGTGGTCCGCTGGTCATACTGTGGGGCGCGGCGGCTGAGCTGGGGGCTCGGCCCCTCTGCGTTCCCCCCCGCCGGCCGCCGGCCCCTCCAGGGATTCTCTCCGGGTTTCCTCTGCCCTGTGCTAGCCCAGCAGCAAGACCCCAGCTCCTGGGGCCACAAGGGGCAGAGCGCTGAAGGACTCCATCCGGGCCATCCCTGCTCCGATGTGATGGGGGTCCAGAGAGGTGGGTCCCTGGCTCCCATATATGGCTGCTGCAGAGGGTAGCCCAGGAAAGGGACCTCTGTCGGGCCCCTGGCCCTGCCCTCTGAGGTGGGTGGTGGGGAAACTGCCCCCCTCCACCCAGTTTCAGAATGGTTGGGGTTAGAGTGGGGAAAGGAGAGGAGGTGCCAGCTGTCCACCTGTGTTGGGGGAAGGGCTGTTTCAGCACGTGCCCCGCCCCCCCACCCCCAGCCAGCAGGTAGCAGGGAGGGTCCCGCCGTCCACCTTCTTGGCCAAAGCCCACTCGTGGGACCCGCGGCGAATGTTGCTGCGCAGGACAGCCAGCGTGGCCTTGTTCTTGAACGTGGTCTCCTTCACCGCCTGGATCTGCAGTGCCTGACGTTGCTCTGTGTGGAGGGACAGGGCAGCCAGGATGTAGGCCAAGGGCCAAGGGCCTGGCCGGGATACCCGGGTGGGGTAGGCTCCACGCCGGAGAGGACAGAGGTGGGGGCGTGAGTTTGCTGTCTCCAAGGCCGCGCTCCTTCCTCCCAGCCTGCATGGGGGCCAGCTTCGCTGCTCAGCAGTGCTCATCTGGACGGCTCTCAGTGGACAGCAGTGCTGGGAGGTGGGGAGGGCGGGGTGCAAGCCAGGGACGGGCAGGCCTGTGATTTCTTCCAGACCCTCTAGCCACAGAAGTGGGTGGATCCCCTCCTGTCCCCTCTGGCTTTGAGGCCACCGTGCTTACAAATCTCCTTGAAGCCCCCAGCTTCTCCTCCCCCTGGCCCCTGCATGGCAGACCCCTCCGATCCCTTCCCCCTAGCTCTGTTTGGAGGTGAGCAGTAGAGCGGCCCCCAGTCCATATGCCCTGGACCGTCCGTGTGTTAAGATCGTAAGTCCTGCCCCCAGGAGCCCCGGAGGCCCTGGGCCACCCCAGCGGCAGCTGCACCCTTGAGCCGAGTGATAGCCTTCAGCTCCTGGATCTGCCTCCACCTCCGCCTCACTACAGATCTTCATGGCGGCCCACGGCGCCCTCCGGGGCCGTCCGCACCTCCCACCCTCTCTGTGCTGAGCCTGCCCCGCAGAACCACAGTTCAGATTGCCCCTGGAATCTCGGCCCATTGGGACGGGGGCGGAGGTTCTCAACGCCCAGGGAACCCGGGAATTCCTGGCCCATCCCGACGACCCCATGCTCTGCCCCCAGCCAGCCTCGGGGTTGCTCTCCTGGACACGAGTCTCGTGGCTGCTCTCCGAGGTGATTGGCAGTGGCACTGCACCCCACGGTGGCGCCACTGCACCCTCCCTATCCCCCCACACCCCCAGTGTCCTCCACTGAGCCTCCTAAAACTTCTGACCTCTCACTGCCTACAGGATCTCCATTCCCTTACCCCACCCCAAGTTCAAACTCCAACCCCGGTGACCTGGCTCGTGAGACCCCCAGCCTCGGCCCTGACTACCCCATCTCTCCCTGGGGAAGTCCTGGGTCCAGCTTTACCTGTCACTTACTCCAGGAGGAGTCAGTCCCCTCCCTCTGCACCCCCAGCACAAGCTTCCCTTCCAGCCACGTGGCCCAAGCCTGGGATTCCAGGGCTGCACATCAGATGGGTTACTTCTTCCAACCTGCATGAGTTTGCCAACAAAGCACCACAGACCGGGCAGCTTAAACAACAGAAATTTATTGTCTCACATCCTGGAGGCTTGAAGTCTGAGATCAAGGTGTCGGCAGGGCGGGCTTCTCCTGAGGCGTCTCTCCCAGGCTTGTAGACGGCCGTGTCCTCGTGGGGTCTTTCCCCTGTACTCATCTGTGTCCTAATCACTTTCTCTTATAAGCACACCAGTCAGACTGGATGAGGGCCCATCCCCATTTTAACGTAATCACCCCTTCAAAGGTCCTGTCTCCAAATGCAGAGTCATATTCTGAGGTCCTGGGGGCTGCAAACTGAGTTTGTGGGAGACACAGTTCAGCCATAACGACAGTCTTCACCTGTGCGCTGTTACAGCACGCATCTTTCTCTGTGACTTCTCGAACAGATCCTTTACTTTTCTGGCCACTCTCTTTTTAAAAAGTGAGTCCAGTCCCCTCTGAAACTCGAAGTTCACCCTCTGCCCTCCCTCTGAGCCCAGGTCTTTCCCTCAGGGGGTTGGGAGGGCCTGCCGTGGGCAGGGTCTATTCCCTTGATGCCCGTGTTCTCCCAGGGTGTGAGGCAGAGCCTGTGCCCCAGTACTGGTTCTCCTTTCCTCAGATGGAGAACCCCTGAATTTTAGTGGGCACGAGGCTGCCCAGAGCAAGCTGCCCTCCTAGGTGCCTTTGCACTAGGCGTCCCGCATGACTTAGTTCTAGCCAATGCAGTGTTCAGAGAAGTGAGTGAACTGCCCTCCTGCTCCCCCTTCCTCTTTCCTGTTGACAGGGATGAAGACCTGATGGCCGGAGCCAGCACAGCTGCCTGGGACCATGAGGTGGATTTGGAATGAGGGCTGTTACAGCACAGAACACGCTAAAAGAAGCCTGGGTCCCTGACTCCATACAGCCCCAGATCACCCACTTGAGCTTTTCCATGAAAGAAACTGAAAACTCTAGCTTGCTTATGCCGCGATTATCTTGGGCTTCCTGTCGTTCTGCCTTCCCACGAACAGATTCCCTGGTGCGTAGTGAGCGTGCAGTAGACGTTCTTTTGCGGGACTGGCTAGGTCAGCAGGCGCAGGGGCGGAGCTGGGGCTGGAGCAGCGCGGCCCTGTGTGCCTTCAGTGTTACCGGGAAGCCTGCTATAAAGGACGGTGGATTTGCCCAGGTGTTATATAATCTCTGCCCCTCCATCTGTTGGGGGTGGGTGAGGTGGGCAGTCTTGCCCATCCAGGAACACTCCTCCATGTGGACAGAGCTCCAGTAAGCTGACTCTGGCCTCCTGAACCACTCACTTCCTCCTCCCCAGGGGAGAAGTGACTTAATCTGATAGGTGGGTTTGGAATGATAGGCAGGTGGGCGTGGCCACTTCCTGTCCCTTGTCTCCTGGAAGCCAGGTGCTGCCTGGCTGCACACCGTCTGCTCTGCTTCTCTGTGCCAGGTGGTACAGAAGCACCCCCGCATGGAGGGCCCATGGGGGCTGCCCAGAGTGTCTAATCCTGGGGTTCGGTGTTAGGAACAGCCCTGGCACCTCCTCCAATCAGCTGTATGGTACCGAGGTGACATTTCTCTCATCTTACTGCGCTGACTTGTTTCCCAACTGCTTTAGAACTCAGGCGGGAAATGGGAAACGGGAAAAGGCGTTTATTAGTCCCACAACCCCCAGCGGCAGCTGTCAGCTCTGACTGGGGTGGGCGGGGGGGATGCAGGGGTCAGAAAGGGCGTACCAGCAGCAGGAAGTGCAGAAGGCCCAACCCCCCACCCCAGAGCTGCCGCCCCCAAATATGCATGAGACAGGCCTGGTCTTCTCCAGCTCTGTGTCCACCACGTTTCTCACTGCCCTGCAGGAGGCCAGCCACCCAGGGGCAGCACGTCCTGGTCTGACCTTCTGGGCGTCCAGGCTGGGCAGAAGCAGTTTGCACAGGTCTGACAGAGCTGGCCATGCATGTGTGCAGGGGACATGGGTGTGGGGAGGCCAGCCTGGGGTGCAGAGGTGCTGAGGGCTGTGTTCTAGAACTCTCCGGGCCCAGGTCCTCTGTGCCCTGGCTGGAGCTCTCCTAGCTGTGCCGATCTGTAAGAGGCAAAGGGAGACAGCTAGAACCACACCCCAAAGCTGCGCCCGGTCCCTGTGCCCATTTTACCGGGGCAAAAACTGAGGCCTGTAACAGGAGGGATGCAGGCAGTGGAGGCCAGGCTTGAGATCAATCAGCTTGATGTCCACTGCGGGGCCTCTCAATCCGGCCGCTCTTCTCGGGGTGCCCACCCTCCTCACTCTGCATTCGCCCTTCCCAGGGCCACCGAGACCCTCCTGGGTCTTCCTCCTGCACAAGGGCCTGGAAGTTCTGTCTGCCGCAGGCCCCCTCCCTCCCGCCCCCATCCCCATGCGCGTGTCAAGGGGACAGGCCTGTCCCGCCTACGCCCGGGGAATGGAGCCTCGGTTCCGCGTCCTGCTGCCCCCGGGACCCTCACCTGTGTCCATGTCTTTGGGGAGCTGCCCTGTCTCCAGGAAGAGCCAGAGGTTGCTGCATTTCTGCGACTCCACTCGGGTCACCCAGTAGCTGGCCACTGAGCCTGCGACTGGGGAGAGGCGGGCAGGGGCCAGTGGGCAGGGGGGCGGGGCCTCTGCACTCGTCAGGGGAAGGGAGCAGGGTGCAGGTTTCTTCCTGGGAGCGGTGGGGTCCAGCAGGGCTCCCACTGAGAACTGGAGCCCCATCCCCGGAGGCAGGGATGCCCGGAACCACAGCCCCCCACCCCTAGTGGGATCCACTTCTGCTGAAGAGCCAGCGGCAACAGGGGTGCATTTCAGGGGCGCCAGGCACCAGTCCTGGAGTACCCACCCACGGCCACCAGCACGTTCCACTGAAAGGGGTACGGAAACCTCCTCTGAACGAGCATCTGCAGGCCGACGGTCGCCCCGGTGCCTGCCAAGAGCCATGGTCCGCATCAGCCAGCCCGTCCACGGGGCTCGCCAGGGGACCACGGGGCTCGCCAGGGGACCACGGGGCTCTCGGCCTAAGTGCTCGCGACACCTGCCAGGCTCTGAGCACTGCGGGCTGGCGACCTGGCGCCACCTGCTGGGGAGTCAGGGTGAGACAGGAGGGTGAGGTCTCTTCCCACCCCAGGACAGACACCTGGACCCAGCCTACCTGTGACAAAGGTGAAAATGCCCTTCATGAAGGCGTTCGACTGGCACGCGGCATACTCCCCGAGTCCCTGGGATGGGGGAGGGGGTTGAAGGCTCAGTTCCCCGTCCCTCCTTTGGGCACACTCCGGCCCTGGGGTAGGGGACCACTCATCGTGAGGCCCTGGGGGCCTGGACACATCCCACCTGCCCCCACGCCCACCCAGGATGCCTCGATCTCCACAGCAACAGGGTCCCCCACCTCTGTCCCTCTTCTCTTCCCTGATAAGGGCACTCCCACCGAGGCCTCCGCCCCGCTCAGGTCAGCTTCTGAGGTCAGGGGCCCGCGTCCCAGGCCAGCCTTCTCACCGGGTGCTTGCTGGCCACGGCGTCGTCCACCCGGGACAGGCCCAGGTTCACCATGGCTGGCGGGGCGCGGGGAGCCGGCGGGTCAGAGCGGCGCCGGACCGGGCGGAGGGGCGGGGCCGGATGGGGCGGGGCGGGGCCTGGCGGGGCGGGGCCTGGCGGGCGGAGGGCCGGGGGCGGAGGGCCGGGCGCGGAGCGGGCCGCGCGCTCCGCAGGCCGAGCTCTGTGACGTTGGGTGGCCAGGCGGCGGCGCGAAGGCGGCCGCCGGCTAGCGCTCCTCCCCGCGGGCCCGGCCTGGGTCGTCCGCCTCGTTTCCAGGCTCTCAGAGACATAATGATTAGTTAGTATTATTTGTGGGGGTGGGGCTTTGCTTACGGCATTACATCTACTGAAAACGACCACGGAATAGCGTATCCAAAGATGATATAGCGAGTTAATTCCCAAAACACCGTAAGCGCGTACTTGGCGCCAGTTCTGTGCTAGGAGCTGGGGGTCCCACGGAGGAGTCAGAGCTCCTAGCCCTCATAGAGCAAACAGGTAAACAGACCTGGGAGGAGGTCAGGAAAACAAAATGGGTAAAGCGTATGGAGAGAGGCCCGGGCCTGTGTGTACGTGTGTGTGTGTGTGTGTGTGCGCGCGCGCCCGCCCTCAAGGAGAGACCTGCGTGGGAGGGTCAGGCAGACCCTCAAGCTTCAACCTTGGGCTGCTGTGTGGGACTAAGCGTGGCCTATTTGCATAAGCTTCAGGAGGCCCATGTGGCTGGATGTGAGGGCGAGAGGCAAGGGTTGGGCTGTGCCTTGAAGCCTGGTGGGAACTTAAGTTCCTCTGATTGCGCACAGCCAGGCACAGCCAGGGATGTCAGCTCAGTGGACATCTTGCTGTCCCTGCGCGGTGCGGGGCCAGCCTTCCAGGAGGGCAGCTGCTAGGGTTTAGAGAGTGTTTCAGCAGTGGAGCAGGCAGGGGTGCTGTCATGGTGCAGCACGCTGTCAGGATATCGGGGGCTACTGGGGTGCAAGAGTGCTGTCAGGGTGCTCTCGGGGTGTGTTTGGAGGCTGCACGAACAGGCCTTGGCATTGGGTTGGAGGTGCCAG